ATTAACGTGTCGCATGCGAATGACCTGGAAAATTGGTCCATTTACGCTCCGACGACCAGTCATGGATGCGCAAGGCAGATTAATTCCACGTTTCCGATTGGCTCTGAAATTTCTTTTGAATTTGTTGAGGAGAAAGTTTGAAAATTAACATTCTAATTGCACAAAATAATATCTAGACTTTATTTAATAGGGTATATTATTTATTAATTAAATAACAACTGGTCCATATGTAACTTTAAAAAATTGTTCTGTTAAAATAATTTTAATGCTACATCAAACCTGCATCAAACAATAAGATCAAGTTTTGAATTTAAATTTAACAAGTTCTAAATATATATTTTTCCTTTTTTTAACAAAAAAAAAAAAATATCCTTTAATATTTAAAATTATTTTTTAATCATTTATTTGTTTTATCATATAATAAACACACTAAAAATTATAATATTTATTTTATTTACATATTCATAAAATCGATTTCATGTCATAGAATACCAGATTTGAGAGCAGAATATATATTTTTAATGTTTATTTTCAAATTAATTATTATATTGGCTCTGAGAATTTGCCAGATCCATATAATCATTTTTAAATAAGAGATAAATTCGAGTTCTCTAGGGGTGTGGCAAAAATGAACAATCCATAATGAATTCTACAAAGTTAAACTTAATTAACCATATATTCGTGCCACGAACATGCGTCTCTCTTAGACAAGACGCCAAACAAGCGCGATATGGCTGCAAATAGAAACGCAAGATTGCCTCGCGGCGGAGATGTTTTGTGTGTGTGGGGATGCGTGTAAATGGCGTGGCACATGCACATTATGCAAATAATCTGCTCGCTTTCGCTCCCTCGCTCGTCTGCGAGCGAATTTGCGAATGGAGAGAGAGAGACGCGCGCGCGGAGAGTGATTAAGAAAAGGGCGGCGCGCGCGATTATGATGGCGTGCTTCTTGTAACCACAACTTTATTAGAGCTGTCTGCGTGAGGCTGCGGGGTGCGTGCCTTGGCGCTCGCAGGACAGATAATAATGCCGCCCAAACACCCCAAGCACGTCCTAAAACCAACTCTAGCCGCAAAAGGCTCAAAGATATTCCGAACTGTAAGTATGTAATACCGAAAGGAAAAAGTTTTGTCACCGCGGAAAGTTATAGCATCGTGAGAAGATCAAAATAATCTTGATAAAAGCTAAATAAGTTATGAAATTTGAGATCACTTTTCCTTTCCTCAGGCTTTCAATTAAATAATATCGATTGAAAATTAATATATTTATTTCCTTAAATGAAAACATAATTATTAAAAAAAAGATATTAATGGCGTTTTTCCCAAAAAAATCTGAGCTTTTTTAAAGATTAATATATTTTACAGCTCATCTATTGAATAATGGGCGAAATTCTTCCAGAACTGGTCTTTTATTCATAATTCATATAAAGCATTTAATTGAAAGGAAAAATATGATTCCGCAATAAATTGAGATTTTTTACTATCAAAATTTGTTGTGTAATTTTTTATGCCTCAAAACTTCTATTTTTCCCTCTCATATGCTTCATTGAATACCATTTCCAATTTAATCAAACTTTTCTTATTATTTGATCAAATACAATACTTACAATAGGAGGAAAATATCACGGCTGAAGAGATAAATATAAAAATATTCTTTCTCTCTCACTTACACAGTGCAAAAGCAGGCGATGATAGGGCACTCAATGGAAAAAGTTTTAAGCTGCTGCCGGAAAATTACACAAAAGCGGCTCGCACGGCAAGAGCAAAAGAAAGTTTGATAAATTTTTCCCGACAGCACCTCGAAAACAGAAATAAAGAGCAGATCCCGCTCGCGCCACTCCCATTAAATTGTAAATGCATAGTTGAGCAATTTGCCCGACGAGATAATGGAATTTCGCGAGCGCTCTCTGGCCGGACGGGCCGAGCTGGTGACGAAATTTATTTGCAACAGACATGAGCTACTCTCATTCGCGCGCGCATTGTTATTCAGGCAGCGGGCATAATTCGATTTTCCCGGTGGTGGCTGCATGAGCTGCTGAAAAGAGCGTTTTTCTCTGGACGCACGGCGCGCACGCAAGCTGCCAGAGAAAAACGTGTTTTTCATTCGGCAGATGAAGATAAAGGAGCTTTAAGACAGTGCTTTTAAGTCAGGCGAGGAGGAAAATTTTCCATCACAATGATTGCGCGAGCGTGGATATTTTCTCTCCGCTTTTTTGCAGCACGTCACGCGGCCAACAGTATTTCTCAATTTGAGCAGACACCTGCAGCTTTCGTTCCGTTCCATTTGTTGGCCACACTGCCGCTGGACACGCGTCTATTTGTTTTCCTTACGTTCCGCCGACTCCCTACACCGTGCCCGTCTTAATTTACATAAGATATTTCCGGGGTCTGCCCTACTGAAAGATTGTCGTAGATTTGGATTTGCGGCCTGAGAAAACCAAGCGCGGAGAGCTTAATTATTCATCAACAATTATGTTGTTCTGATTATATCATTATGAGTCTAACCAATTGACCAAAGCATCGATCGGTTGGCAAAGAGTCATTTTTTTTAATTTTTTTTTTTTTTTAAATAAAAAATTTGCAAAAGTTAATTTGTGAATTTTGCACTTTTACCGATGGTTTAATCTTCATTCCGAAAAAATACGCATCTGCTGTGGCCAAATTTAGTTTTTTATGAATGATAAATTTATAAAGGAAGAAATTAAAAACAGACCATTTTGACTATTGGCTAAATTTGACATATTCAGGCTTCATCTATGCAAATTTATATTAATGAATAATTCCGAAAAAATTGTTCCCACCTGCTAGGACAATTTAAAAAAAGCCTTTTCAAAGATGGAATATTTCTCTATAATTTTATTAATACATAATTATGGCCTCTAGAATAAGACCTCTGAACCATTTGAACAGCTAGGGTTGAAGAGGGCGGAAGAGGGGATATCAATTGTTTAGGTTCTGGCCGTTTTATTGTTTTTCAAATAGAATCTGATTTTGAAGTTACGTTTTCCTGGAAAAATTTGAATTTTTTTCCGCCAAACCTTTTCACCTGATTGTTTGCTAAGAAATCCACGAGCCTTTTTCCAATTTACGGGTATGCATTTTAAACAAACCTTAAATTTTCCTGTATTTTCTCGTTTAAATATTAATTAAAAATTGAATTATGCTTCAGGAATAAACTTTTAAAAAGTCTATTATTGCAATTTATTGCTGTTTTTCCAAATTATTACATCACAGTGTTCACATTGAATTGTTAAAAAATTAATTAAAAAAAAAATATTATTATTTTTAAATGTTATTCAATTTTAACTACTTTTCAAAATGTAATATTTATGATATTTTTATAACATAAAACATGTCATCTGCAATTTTTATTAATATGTTGATAAAAACTTTCCCCTGATTTTTTTTATTATTTATTAACAATTTTTTAAGAATTTTATTCGTTTTGGCAACATTTTCGAATTCATTGAAGATAAAAGAAACGGCGTTGCACAGACATAATGTGTACGCACGTGTAGGTGTATTAAAATAGAGCCAGTGGGTAGAAATAATGATGCCACGGCTCAATGAGCGCTTTTACGAGTGCACACACAGAATATAAAAGCTTGGGGCTCTTAAGTTGGGCACAGTGGCGCACGACATAGTGAGGGAGACACAATGGAACGAGAGAGAGGCACCACCGCACGTCGCATTCTTTCCTGAAAGAAACCTCCAACCTGCGCAACAATGGTCGACACACTCGGCGAAGGCTGAGGGCCTGTGCAGGAAAAAGAGAAAAGCCCGTCTTGAGAGGTGAATTCGGCCGGCCGGTCGTTTTTCGCCGGGGTGAAAATATAAATGATGATCAGAGCGAGGGATGCGAACGAATGTGGTGGCGCAGGATATTGGCCTCGCAGTTCAAAAGATACTCAATCCTGCCGGGAGAGAGTCCTTCCCTCATTCAAAGGACGACTAATTCCCTTTGAAAGCTTCTCTCGCTCTTCCAAAACCTGCAGAAAGAGAGATTTGTGTACCTGAAGCTGCAACTTTTGCTCTGCGAATCATAATGACGAGATTCAGAACGGCGGAAATATGGGGAAACGAGAGACGTGTGCATTCAAAAGAATCGTAATCAAATGAAGCCATAAGTCGTCGTCGGCATTCGTGGCTGCATCAGGGGGATGGAATAAAATAAAAAGATTTTGGATGAAATAAAAAACGGTCGCGTCGCAACCTCTACTTTTGTCTGCGGTGGGCGCGGAATCCTTTCAAGTATGCTTTGACTCGTATCAATTATCATGCCGTCGGGATGGTATTAAATTTATATCTGACTCAATTTCCACTTGTTACTGTTGTTAAAATTTCTCTTAAAAATATAATTGAAAAATTTATTTAATTTACTTTGCCTAATTTTATTTATTAATATTAAAATTAAATTAAGATTTCTGTTCCCTTAATAATCCCTCACCAATAATTTTATAGAATTTTTTAAGAGGTTTTTAGGGTATTTATCAAACTGAGCGAGATAAACTTGTCTTTAAAGAATGGAATACATACTTAAATTTTTACTTTTAATTAAAATAAAGGTAAAAATTTTGTGTCATTTAAATTTTATTTCTTAATTAAAAGTAAAAATGCTGGTAATATATTCCTTATTCAAAAGCCAAGTTTTTCTCGCACAGTTTCTGTAAAACAACGTAAAAACCTATTAAAAATTAAACCCTGAAACTGCTTCACACTTTGCAACACAAAGACACTTCCCTACACTAATGAGAACAGAAAAAACACACGCACACTAACAACTATAGAAGAATTTTATAGAACTGCAAATAATTGCAAACAATGTAAAAATGAAATTCTTATGAATTTTGAGCATTAACATAAGTTTGGAGCGATATGGTTTGCAAGGATGTTTTCAAACACAATAAATTTTTAACTTTAAGCTCGAGCAACTTTTTACTTTTAATATTTATTTTTTTTCTATGAAGACAACTTTAACAAAAAGAATCCCTTTGATTTCAGGTTTGCTGGCACTGAGTTTGCAAGGGCCCGTGTTCATCCAAGAGCCGCCCTCGTCGGTGGACTTTTCCAACTCGACGGGCACCATCCTCGGCTGCTCTGCCCTCGGCAATCCGCCGCCCACGGTCACCTGGCTCGACGCCTCGAACCGCGAGTTGCCCACCGTGATCCGCTACAGGTAGGCGCCATTCTGCTCAAGAGCACTCTTCTTTTACTTGCACACCATAAGTGCTCCTATTTGCAATGCAAATTCAAGAGGGGTTGGGTGCTCAGTCGGCGGCACGGCTCAATCTTGAAACTGACGAGAGAGCAAACACCAATTAACCGACTTAATTATCTCCGAAGAATTGCGTTAACGTCATGGTGGTCTTGTTAATGCGCCGCCTCGTTTGGCCTGGCGCCAGAATTGAAAAAAAAACTCTGCTAAAATGACGAAAAGAAAAGAAAAATTTTCATAAAATGTATAGCGGTTTAATTTTTTTTTTTATCATTTGGCTATTTTCAGTTCCCTTTGTTTTTTTGCAAATAATTTTGGCAAGTTATGAGCCGTGCTCATTCTTGGCACGTATATGAACGTTGTTTGTTTTTATAACTTGGCTGCGACGCTTTAATTGATAAAATCATACAAGGCGCGCGCATCGCTCATTCTCTCACTCCTTTTTCATTTGTTTCCCCCGAGCTGCGATAATAACCGGCTGACGAGTTTGACGCTTTTATTAACCTTTTGTTCCACTTGGCGCAACACAAAGACCATTCATATTCTTTAGCCCCGCCGCCCGGGTTTTATTAAAAGAGATTAATGTCTGTCCGCGTGCGTATACTTTGTGCGGAAAAATTGCTCTACGTTGACATTTGTGATAAAGATGAATGCGGCGGAGGTTTCATGAAGAAAGGAGAGGAAAGAAAGGGGCAACTTATTTTTCCTGCTTGAGCAATTTGCTCTCGTATCACCGGCATGATATGCCCAAGGAGCTCTCTGACGTCAATTATACCTATAAATGGAATGCAAACGTCACAAATATTATATGAAAAGAAATTGCGACTCATGTTTTGGAAATAAATAGAGCGTCAAAATCCTCTGCTAAAAAAGTTCATTTCCTTTTTTAGTGAAAGAAGGAAAATGGTTTAAATAGACTGTTGTGTATTGATATGGGCAGAGACAAATTTCATAAACTTCAAATACAACTAATAAAGTTAAATAAAAATTGAATTTTTATATACAAATTTTTTGTAATGTGCGAAGTGACTAGAATCCTTGATAGCTTTAGTAAGACGAAATCAAGACCTTATGAGAAATTAATAGTATAAATCAGTATTAATATAATTTATTATTATTTAAAGCAGGGAGTCTCTACGAATAAATATTATTAACCAATTATATTTGCTCTTAGAAATTTGAATATATATTATTTGTTCTTCACTAAGCTTCTTTCGGCTAACAAAATAATAATATACTAAATGGAAGAAAGATATAAATTATATATTTGTCGCAAAGAAAAGTGTAAATAAATTTCCTTATTTATTTATCCATTCATTAAACTGTTTATCACATATTTTTTATTGGTGGAAATTATTGTTATTATATTGTTTATTTGTCCATATTGTGAGTAAAATTTTTTTCGTAGAGATTATAATTGCAGATTAAAATTAATTATAATTAATCCAATTGAAAGCTATAGTAAAATGAGAGTTGCTATGCTAGAATTTTTTTCAAATTTTAATTATAAAAAGCACTTAGCAAGCTCAAATATTGCCTAGATTTCCCCTGGGCTTCAATTAATCTGCTAAACAATATCCCATTAATATAATTAGCTGAAATCAACGCAAGGACAAACTATATTGAAACCTATTTGTATATATTTTCATACGAATGGAGAGCAAAAACGAGATGAGTAGAAATCAAAACCCAAAGTTAGCAAAATGAGCCTGGGGCAATGTTAACCCACCGCATATGTATGAGGAAGTTTGAAATTGAAATCGTAGATGCGGCGGGGTGAGGGCGACGATGATTAAAAATGGTGCGAGTCGGCAAACGGGCGTTCGGATCAGCAGAGAGCAGGTCTTTGAAATGGAAACTGCGCTGCTCACGGATGACTAACTGAACTGCGAGATAGGGATTAAGGTCACACGGTTTGATTACTCGCCGGCGCGGTGTGCGATTCGCCGAGCCTGTTTAAGGTGCATGTCATATAAATGTGATACACGGCCACTCTCTGTGCAGCCAGACTTCTGTGCGACGAGGAGTCGAGATTTACATACACACACGGCGAAAGGGTTGTTCATTCCGAGTGATGGATGCCGCCGAGTGCCGCAGCCCATCCGCAGGCCGGCTTAATAGTGCTCTCGGTTAATGGCCCCTTTTAAATTGTGCGCCGTATTATATGAAATTATAAGCCGCGGGTGCTGCTCGTAAACACACACGCAGATATGATTTAATTGCCTCTTTTCATTCGCGCTCTTTTACGGCTTTTGTTTTTAATTATTGCGCCAAAATAAAGTTCGCAGGTAATAAAGCGGCATGACAGAAGTAATAGTTCTCGCTTGCCAGATGTAAAAAAAGGGAATTCTAGAGTTAGTTTACAAAGGCGGACATTAAGAAAAATTTTACACTGTTATCGTGATTTTTATCATTTAATGCTTCTGCATCGAAGAAGAAAGAAGCACAAAACAGGAAAGTGACGATATGATAACTTTGGCGCTATTTCTCGTTTAAATATAATTAAAGTAATTATGGCATTAATATAATTATTTTAATAACAATATTGCACTGGGTTTAAAATAAGTACAGTCGTCGTGTCTCACAAATCGTTATTCCAGTTATGCCGGTTTATCATTAGGTTCAACGTCAAACACATATTAAGAAATTAATTTAATTAATATTCAAAAATTTTAAATTAACAAGACATTTGGACACACAATATTTATCTTATGCATTTGAATCAGCATTGGATTTATATATAATATCTTTAAGATCCTACAATTATATTATGTATTTAATAAAATAAAAAAAAACAATAAAAATATTTAGAAATAATAATTAAAAAAAAAATATTGTGAAGAAAAATCTAAAAGCTCCTGGTAAATTAAATAGTTATGATAAATGGTCATCAATAGAAAAAAAATAATAAAGAAACCCAGTACATTAAATAAATATTCTAGACAAAAAAATTCACCATCGTTTTTATGCACTAAAGAAGTAATTTATGAGCCTATAATTCCACACAGTGAAATGTGCTAATTGCATAATCCCATTGATCTTTCAAGCTGCGTCGTAAATAATCGCGGATAATGTAGTTGGTGTGCAGTGCACGCGCCACGTTGGGAATATTTACATTTCAAATTACACCTCGCGCGCTTCCACCGCCACCACCGACGACGACGACAGCGTTAAAAATATTTTAATTTCGCCTTGCGCTCTCTTACTTGCGACACACAAAAAAACTCAATAATTAATGAAAGCTATTTGCATAATAACACCATCACGCCGCACAATGTACGAAAAAAAATACGTAGTCGAGAGTGTAGCGCATTCACTTTTGCAACGCAAAGAGTTTTAAAAACACATCAGCGGAAGAGGCGGCGGCGCAGCTCATCAGCACCGCCAGCGCTCTCGCACCCTGTATATTTCATATTTATGGACGAGATGCAAACGAGCTTAATGGAATACATTTTAATATAAATCCACTCAAAGGCTTTTTCGCCGTTGCGCTGCTGCTGGCGTCGAAAAAAAAGTGCGGACGACGATAAGTGCAAAAAGTGCGGAGGCTTGATGGCTTTTGTTTTTATCACTGATGAGCCGTCGCTGCATTTTACTCATTACACATGTTGGCAGAATTAAAATTAACAAAGAAATATTTATTCATTTACTTTAACACCACGTGGGAAATTTCAGTACAAAATATATTTATATTTAAAGTAAAAATATAGCTAATTTAGAATAGTTGATTATCTATAACTAGCATTTACAAATAGTCGTAAATAATGTTTTATTAATTTGATAATTTATAAATTAAAATTAATTTTTTTTATTTATTAATTATTTTATTGTTAGAGCGTTGAATTTATTTCACACTTGCAGTAATTTTAGTCAATTTAAAATAAACATAAATATTTTTATTTATTTAAAATCAACTGTTGAACATTTTTCAGCGCAAGAGAAGACAATTTAATTAAGCAGTTTTAGGATAGTGGAGAAATCTAACAACTTCATATCATAAATTTCCAAGGCTTGCTCTTTTCTGTAATTTGTTGATTATCTCTTTCTTGAAATCCATCAAAGATTGAAATACTTAATTATGGATGGTGCATTTTGGGCAGAGACATGATTATCGCATCTTGCGCGCCATATTTCATGTTTAATTCAATTAATTCGGTTTCAAAATGCAATTTCCTCTCATTTCTGATTCAAACATATAGAAATGTAACCTGCTGCTTAAAAATTTCTGCACATTACCTCGAAGCCAAAGTCACTCGGAGCTAAAAGCAGCTCTCGCAAAAATACACTTCCGAGGTTAACGAGAAAAATTTCATTATTTTTGCCAACCTCGGTGCGCCGGAGAAAATTTTCTTTGGCAATCTTCAAAGCAGATTTTTTATCCCTCACACGAGGTTTAACACGGTGTGCGAGTGGTGCGGCTGGATATTTATTCCGTCTATGTAGTCGGAAGGTGTGAGCGTATTTATTCTGCAGCTTTATGAACACGGCACTCATTACCGCGAGCAGAGACGCCGCACCTGCCGCTACTTTTGCTGCGCGTTTAATGCACACGGCACTTGGTGCGAAAAGTGGCGCTCCTTGCATGTTTGTTTTTGCACGACTAAATCCAGGCTAAGCGCATATTTAATCCTGAAAAATTAGACGCTTTAAATCCCGGTTATGTTAATTTCGGTTCGCACCCTTTTCACAGGGGGTTATGAAAAAAATTTTGAAATATATATCAGGAGAATTAAGTCGGCATATAAATTTATGTTACTTGCAACACCGTGTTGGATTTGAGAATTTCAAAAAAAAAAGTTTAAATATTTAAATAACAGTTTTAATACAACATTCCTCTATAAAATGGGGAGAAATCCTGAGAAATTTAAGAAAAAATATCAATAAAATAAAATCGAGGCTAAATTATTTGCACACTTTGTAGAATTTGTTGCAATGTTCACTCTGATTTATTTTACTGCTCTAAATTATTCCAGATTATATTCAAAATTATATTCCTATAAAAAAATTTATGCCAACGCAAACTATTAATATACAATTCTTTTTCAAAAATGTAGATGCAAAAAATTTGGTAAATTAATTTTTGTGTATAAATCATCTTTATTCATGCTATTTTTCCTCCCTAAAGATATTGTTTGGGAGTGTAAATATGAAGAAATATTTGAAATTTTTAAATGCAATTGGAAATTTAAGACTCCATAATTATCAGCAGTTAGCCTCGGTTGATTAATATTGATTTTATTTAAAAATGTACACGAACCAACAAAAATGTGCGTGAAAGAATAGCGAGTGACTTAAATTTTCGAGTTTGGCTCGTTTTTTCTAGATTTTTGTCTGGCAAAGACAAAAATTGCGTAGTTGCTGTGCTGGCAATCCTAATCCGCCCCTGGAGAGTGCGTTAGTGAGAAGGGCAAAATTAATGAAAACACTGCACGATGGAGTAAGTCATGCGTTGATAATTGGTTTAATTATACACGCACATATACAAGTTTGCCGGGAAAAAGGTCGTTTGCTGCGCATGCAGCTTTTGCTCCATTTTCTCCGCACGGGGTATTTTCAAATACAAACATGTACCGAACGCGCAATGTACTTTGTGTGTACCAGCGTTATATGCTCGTTCACCTACCTTCTCACTCGAAAGAGCTTCCAGGCGGCAAAATCGCTTACACAGAGGCGCGTAATTATCCAATTAGCCGCCGTGGAATTATTAATGCTGCCACTCTATTACCGGTGAGCTGCAAAGTTATTCAAGCGTGATATTAATTTGATTAGAATTTATTGAACCTGCTTATATGTTTCATTTTTTTCCCAATTAGCTCAAGTAATTTTGAAATATGTAGAAATTATTCACCATTTTTTTATTAGCAAAAATATCAATATCAGAATCTACAAAATTAACTTTTTTCTAATTGTAAAATATTTAGTAATGATGTTGAAAATAAGCAATTCACCAGAGCTCTTGGCAGGACACAATCAAAGAGGAATAATTAATTAAAATTAAATTGGGTGGATCCAGGTATGATTTGGGTGTGATTGTTGATGAAAAGTTACCATTTTGAAATTCATGTATGTTGTTGGGGTTGGAAAAAGGTGCTTCCTCCTAAATTTTCAGCTAAAAATATTGGGTGCTTTTCCGGGAAATCAGATTTATCCAAAAACACTAAAATACCAATATCTCTGCTCCTACTAAGAATAAACGTATGCTCTTTTCACGTTCAGACGTAACTTTTTACGCCCGACAACTTTGCCGTTGACAAATTTGGTAACTTTTCATCAACAATCACACCCAAATCATTCCTGGATCCACCCAATTATAAAATGAAAATACAGGAAATAAAATGCAAGGTAGAATTAAAAAGTTTGAAATTGTTTAAGCTATTATTATAATTAAGTGAATTTGCAAATTATAAAATAACACTGATAAATCACAATTATTTAATTCAAAGCTGTTTAAACCATTAAATGCAACCTGCATTTATTTCTCTTTCATTTCAAATTTGTTAATTTCATTTACATAAACACGTCCTTATTATTGATGTGTTTATTCGTTGCCAAAATCAACAATTCGCCAATGAAAATACGCGTTTGCAAATAAACATTCAAGAATAACATTAACTCGCGTTTGGTAATCAATAAAGGCCGATGACGCAACTTGCTCCCAATCAGGCTAATTAGCCGGTGTGCAATCAGGTGATCGGCAGCACGCTCGACGCATAAGACTCGTCGCAATTCCCTCATGAACTAAAAGCGCAAATGGAGCAAATGTTGCATCAGCAAGGCTCACTGCTGCGGAAATTTTGTCAAGATGCAATTTTCACCTCAGCTTGAGATATTTTGCAATTTCGCAAAGATACAGTTTGCTTAATATAACAAGTACCGGCATCAAAATAATAAATTTTATTAATTTTGGTGTCTTTTTTTTAAATATTAAGTTCAAAATTTGGAGTTTTTAGCTTTCATCGACTTGCTGTTAAATTTGATTGAATGTAAAAAGTTTGCCTGGAAATCACAAACAATTTGCAAAAAAAATATATTCATAGAATTAAAATTTTATTGACTTTCGGATTCTGCTTTGAAGGTCCACAAAAGGAAATTCTAGCGGAAAAAATTTATTTAAAAATATCTGAAATTTGAAAAAAACTAATAACTCTCTGGCATTTAATTTTCATTCCTAATTAATTTTTTATTATCAGATAAAAAGTTTTCGTTCTTTTTTTTAATTAAAAAAGGCCAAGTAACATCTGGCAGACAGCAGAACGCAAATAACTATAAAAAATGTCTGTCCATCCAACCGCCTGGCTCACATAAGGTGAAAATCATCGCACTATTATTACGAAAGAGGTTTTTACAACTGGCATTCTTTGGCGGTCGTATTTTGGCGGTGTAGACAAATGACAAAAAAGGCTCGCGGCAGAGACAAATATTTTACGATTGCGATGCCCGGCATCAGCACAATATTTCATTTTGCGTGGCTGAAAGAGGAAAAGCAAGAGGCCCTTTTCTCCCTCACAGCCCAAAGGCGTTGCAGCGACCTAAGAGAATGGAATAAACGTCTGCGCGTGGATAATTGCGTCAAATTCTTCGAAGTTTGTTATTTGCTCCGCGCCGATTTACAAAGAGAGGGCCTGTTAAAATTTCCGCCCTTGGCGAAAAGTGAGCCTTTGCGGCGCATCTCGTTTCTCACAAGGCTAGGGTGTTTTGTGCGAGTCGCAAGAATAAAAATAACCATCTGGCTGAGGGGAATAATGATGTCCTCGATATTCGAGGGGATTGAAACTTATACCTTTATCAAATCGTATTCTGCCTCGCAGGAAATTGGCATCCTTTATCAAACTTATCGAAAGTCACTACGACATTTCGTCCAATTTTCTGCAGTGCTCTCCTTTTCCACAATGTCAAAAAGACTGCTACACGTTGAGCGTGTTTGGTACGGATGAAAAATTGGAAAAACCTGCACGCTTGGATGTTGAGCGTATTGCACAAGAAGGATCGTTTTAGAAAAGTTTAATAAAATTATCCTATTATTCTGCATTTTATTTTATCATCGCTTTTCTTTTACTCAAATGCATCCATGTAATTTACACATTTTGGATAATAACAATTAATTAAATAACTTCATTTATCTCTACGACATTACTTTTAAGCTCGCACTTTTTGTGCCGATGGATTATTTCCGAATTTTTTACAGCGTACAGCTATTTTTGCGATTGTGTTATAAATTGATGGAGAATAAATTAATATAATTAATATTTAATAATGTTACAGGTAATAATAAAGATCAATTAAATGTCCCAAAATTTTAGAAAATTCAATTCCACAATTAAGAATAACGAATCTGATTGAATTAATTGAACTGAAAATACTAATACGTTATTAAGATGAATTTCACGATCAAGGGTTGATTCATAGTGATTGAATTTAATAAAAAGAGATGCAATAATACTAATAATAATAATAATTACATGGGTTCTGTTCATTGTGTAAAATTAGTAAATAATTTGAAAAACCCATTTTAAAATATTTTAAATTCAAACGTCATGAATTCATGATGAAAAAAGTGTTAGTATCGTTAAAAAAAAATAAATAAATTTACTGCAAAAATAAATTCCTAAACCATTCATTTTATTTTTAATTGATGTTAATCAACTAAACTTCTTTCAATGTAGAACATAGGCCTTGTATTTCATTTAAAATATATAAAAAAAGAAAAAAAATCATTTTTGGTAGACATTTTTTTCCTCACGTGCTTTTCTTTTTAACCGTTCATAGTAATTGTCGATTGAATTAAATAAAAAGAGAGATACAATAATACTAATAACAACTTTTCCTGCTCTGTTTGTATTGAAGTTTGTCAACTAAGCTTTGTAAACATTATTATCTTTTTCAAAATAGAACAGAGACCATGTATTTAATTAAATATAATTTTAATAAAATTTAAAAGGAAATTCAACCTCTCAAAAACCAATTTTTTTATAGAAAATGTTATTCCTCACGTGCTTTTTTCAAAGTTTCATTGTTGTTTTTTTTTCCTGTAAAAGCTGAGATTAACTTAACATGAATAACACGAATGCTTGCAGAGAGATTTTGAGCAATGGCAGCCTCTTCTTTCCACCGTTTCCACCTGAGGAGTACAACCCCGAGGTGCACGCCGCTTCCTACAGATGCAGGGCGACCAACACCGTCGGCTCCATCGTCAGCCGAGAGTGCAAAATCCGCGCAGGTCAGTGCCCTTTGTGTTTCATTTTCCAACACAGCAATATTTGTATAAGCGTCAAAGTGAAAAAGAAAAAAATCCAAATATAATCCTCTGCGTGTTTTCCAGTTTTAATTATCTGAAAGCCGTTTTTCCACTTTTCCCTGTTTGTTCCGATCTCACCCGCATACGGTCGTGCAAATTTCATTCCGCGGATACGAAGCGTCAGCCGCACTCGTGCTGCTACACGTAAACAATAAATTGGTAAATCGAAACCGTGCGAGAGCGAGGCGAAAGCCGATGCTTTGGCAAAAAGTTTTTGCAGTCGCGTCTCTCTTGTCGCTCGCATTGATAAACGAGCCGCGGGCGTTATTTTGCTTCAGCTAATTAAAAGTTAGTTAATGAGCTTTGGGACTTTTACTGCCTTTGTTTGTCTCCGCGCTGGCTGACAGGCATCGTCAATATAGCCCTTTTCCCTCTGTGTCGCGCCTATTATTATGCATCACTGCTACACATCCCTTACAACACTCTGATTTCCTTTGCTCTGCTTTACAAAACAAAGCACGCCACCAGAATCACTGGCAAAACTACGTGTTTATTTATACACACACAAACATATGAATGAGCATGATTTTAGGACAAGTAAAGCTTTGTTAACAAAAAACCTGCAGTCTAAAATTTATCTGATGCTTGATAGTTTTAGTTATTCTCATCTTGATTTTATGTTCCATTGGACGCAGTAGATGTTATTAAATCTTTAACTAGTTTCAAGACAAAAAGTGTTATTTTATATCTGAGAATGTAAAGATTAAGATTTATTATATCAAACGCAGTTTATTTTCTCAAAATCCTCAAAATATTTAATTAAACGTTAACAATGTGATGTATTATTATTGTTGTTTTGTCCAAATTGTTACATCACATTGTTTACAATTTGTAAAGTTTCGAAGAAAAAACAATTTTGTGTTAGAATTTCATGACCGAGAGTTGAATTCATTGTGATATGAATTTTAAATCAGCTTTCCTGGATGGGTTTTGTGAGTTGTTTATTGTTTAAGAAAAATCAATATCCCTGTTCAACATGTTTCAGCTGCGGACTGCAGCCATAATTCATAGGCTTTGAAATCATTTTGACAAGGATTAGAACAAAATTCAAATCTTTTTAGATAATATTTTTCTTGCTAATTAATATTTTTATTTTTTGTTACATATAATTTTAAGAATACATTTTCACACAAAACAATTACTAACACAAATTTGACACTTGAATTCAACTTTTTTTAACAAATAAATTTTTTTGATAATTTTCGTCGGTTAAAAATTGTTATTATCTTAAACAATAAACAACTTTGACAAAACCCATCGAGGAAAGCTGATTTCAAAATTGAAATCACCAACAATAATAACAATAACAACAATAGTTTACTGGCAATTTATTTAAAATAATTTAGAGTCTGCGGTCAAATTAATAATATAAAAAAAACGTTGAATACAAATATATTTTGAATACTACAGATCAATCAACTTTTCCACGATGGCGTAATTCTTTTCATTCTTTCTGTCGCACATTCATTTTCAGCAAGCAATTAATCAACTTACTGTGCGTTCTAGTGTAATTCACATTCCTTTTTCCCACAAAGCTCTCGTCATAATATATTTATTTCCATCTGCGAAAATTCCAAATTTCTGCTGAATGGCGCGCCGCGCGAGACTAATGAAGGCATTAGAGGACAGCAGGTGATTTATCACCAAAGTGCGGTTGCTCTTAATCATGGGGGCTTCAACGGCGGCATTACGGCGAGTGAGTGAGGCAGAGTGTGTATCACAGGGCGCTGGGCGTGTCACCCTTTGCAGAAATTAATGGCTCAAGGTGCGACACAATAACTTAATAACACCAGCACGCGCCCGCCGCGTACACGTGTCCGCGGCTTGTGCACAAACTTCGCTAAACCTTTAAAACTTTTTGTCTCACACATCTCATGATTATCGTAAAATATAAATGTCACATTGAGCCTTTCAAAAAACCTTTTTGCATATAAAAAATACGTTTAATTTTACGGTTTAAGTTTAATCCGTTTTTATGCTTAAATTATATGTTATTATGTATAAACGGTTTATGTAACCTGTAAATCAGACTTTTTGAAGATGAAATTATTGAATTTATTTTACATAAAAAAAATAGTAACCATTTAATTTTAGGGAAATATTTTTGTTGTGACGAATCAAATTTTATAAATAAATTCTAGATTGAGACGTCTTTATTCTCAGATAAAGACATCTTTTATCTCAGATAAAGACATCTTTTTTCTCGGATAAAGACATCTTTTTTCTCAGATAAAGACATCTTTTTTCTATGATAAAGTCATCTTTTTTCTCAGATTGAGACATCTTTTTTCGCAGATAAAGTCAACTTTTTCTATGATAAAGACATCTTTTTTCTCAGATTGAGGCGTCTTTATTCCCAGATAAAGACATCTTTATTCTCAGATAAAGACATCTTTTTTCTCAGATTGAGACATCTTTTTTCTCAGATAAAGACGACTTTTTTCTAAGATTGAGACGTCTTTATTCTGATAATTATCAATAATTATTATAAATATTAATATTTCCGTGATATTTTCAATACCATATTTATTTGATATAAACTTATTGATAACAACAAAAATATGATCTAATGGACCTGTATTTTTCAGACGTGTCGCAGACTTATCAGCTGCAGGTGCAAAATGTGTTCGTGGTGCGCGGCAACTCAGCGGTGCTGAAATGTTCCGTGCCAAACTTCATGAAAGGCCTTGTCGTCGTCAGTTCTTGGATGAAAGAAGATCCGGTGCTGGGACGAACTTCCATTCATCCTGGTGGAAGGTACGAGTTTTTTGCCGCTCTCATGAACTTGTCAAACAGGGCTGATTGATCTTTTCAATTTCTGACACTCCACTTTTTTACCACATATAAATAAAGTATCTTCAAAAAGTGTGAACAATCAAAGCTGGGCTATGAATTATTAATAAAAAAAAAATCTTGAACGAGGGAAATTGTCAAATTGAAACGATCACTTACAAAATAAAATGTGATTTTAATGTTTTTTTCCCTACAAAATATTGTAAATAATATTAACATAGTTCCTGATTTAATTTGCGTTATATTTTCAATACCAATTGAATTTTGTTTCAGGTTTACTATTACTGCCGGCGGTGCTCTGCAAATCAGAGACGTCCAGAACGAGGACGGATACACTCGTTTCATGTGCCAAGCGATGCACAAACTCTCGGGGGAGCGGCGCGTCAGCATGCCTGGCCAGCTTATCGTCACAGGTCGGAGCATAAAAGCATAATTTACTTTCTAAACTTGCCTGTCTCGTACATTTTCATTAGTCTTTCAGTTTTGGTGAAACAATATTGTTGAAAACTCCATTTTATGTTTGTATTTGCGCGGTGGATGCGAGCTTGAGCGTGGGTGAAAATTGCAATTTCAGATCCTGACGGCAACACGGCGCCTCGGATCGAGCAGTCAGTCTCCAGCATTAACGTGCCAGTCAACACGCCAGTCGATTTGATGTGTTCAGCCCGTGGATTTCCACCGCCCTCTTTTCGGTCAGCAAATGATTAACTTTTCAAAAATAAAAGCTTTTAGCGAATATTGCAAAATATGGAAAATGTAAAAATACCATCACAAAATCCTCTCTAAAAATCAGAAAAATGTCATTTTCATTGTTGTTAATTTCTCTATTTGGAGAAATTTTATATCATTTAAATAAATATTCAATAGAACTTGGAGTTTAAATAAGATTGAGAGCAATAGCAAATGATATTTAGTCACATTTTGTTGTAATCCATTCCAAAACTAAAAAATAAAACGTAAATTATTTGCCCTCTGTGTACTTTTCAATTGAAGGTGGTACCGAGAGAGTGGTTTGATGCAGCAGGAAATCAGCCTGGTTTCGCCTTTCATTCGACCCATGGGAAACGTGCTGCAGCTGCTGAGACCCCAAACTAGCGACTCGGGCCGCTACATTTGTGTCGCCAACAATCCACTCGGGGAAGACAGGCGAGACGTAAGTTTAGACTGATCATTTGCAGCCGAGGGTGGCTCAGGCACATTCGATTATCCCACCCAACTTTTAGCAAGATTGATTTCGAGCAAAGGGCCACGCTTATTCGCGCTCTCGAAATTGCACGTCGGTGGCGGCGATCAGTCGCAGAATCCCAATCGTCCCTGTGGCTTCATTGAATTTCATATTATTTCATTGAGTAGAAACATTGATGTATTAGAGCCACCAAATTTTTTAGCATCGAATTGATTTTTTTTCCCGACACCTTTCAAGCCAAAGCACAGGTCGGTTGGCAAGGGGTCGTGGATTTATTTGAAAAAAATTAGGTGAAAAGAACACAAAATTTGACGGATTTTGGCGTGGAAAAAACTCGGAAAAGTCAAAAGCTTTCCCGGAAAAACGCTACTGTAGTTTCAACTTAAAAATGGAATATCTCGGGTTCTAATTGAGATACAGAAATGCGGCTAGCACCAAAAATTTTCTTTTTACCTCCTCTTCAATCCTGAGGGGTCAAATAATCCAGAGGTCAAAGGTCAAGGTCATTTTTCAGGGGTCACACGTACAAAAAAATTCTAGCAAAAATATGCCACCTTCGATTGGGCTGAAATTTTTTTCTAAGATAGTCCTAACATGTAGGAACAACATATTAAAAATTCAGAATGGCATATTTTTTAGATTTTTTATAAAAAAATCACAAAGGTAAAAAAACGTGAATTTTTCGTATTTTGGCAATGGTCGGATATTGATTTTTAGAAATTTTAAGAAATTTTTTGAAAATTTAGGAATTTTTTGTCAATAAATAAATAAATTTACCCATTTTAGATACGTACTTTCTCAAAATAAATTTTTGATCATGAGCAAAATGCGAAAAATTCACGTTTTTTTACCTTTGTGATTTTTTTATAAAAAATCTAAAAAATATGCCATTCTGAATTTTTAATATGTTGTTCCTACATGTTAGGACTATCTTAGAAAAAAATTTCAGCCCAATCGAAGGTGGCATATTTTTGCTAGAATTTTTTTTGTACGTGTGACCCCTGAAATATGACCTTGACCTTGTACCTCTGGATTATTTGACCCCTCAGGATTGAAGAGGAGGTAAAAAGAAAATTTTTGGTGCTAGCCACATTTCTGTATCTCAATTAGAACCCGAGATATTCCATTTTTAAGTTGAAACTACAGTAGCGTTTTTCCGGGAAAGCTTTTGACTTTTCCGAGTTTTTTCCACGCCAAAATCCGTCAAATTTTGTGTTCTTTTCACCTGATTTTTTGCAAATAAATCCACGACCCCTTGCCAACTGACCTGTGCTTTGGCTTGAAAGGTGTCTCCCTATAACTCTATTCAATAATTGCACAGAAAAATTTAACAGTAATTCTCTTTAAATAAAGATAAATTTTTTTTTTAGAAAATTTAACTTTCGATTGCCTTAAATTTTAAATGAATTTAAAAATTCTTATTTAACACGTAAAGATTGTGAGGAAGAATGAGTTTATATTTAAATTAAAAAGACCTTAACAGTTAATTTAATTATACAGAACAAAAATTTATGATGGATTATGAATCGATTGCGCTGGTTGGCATTTAGGTGACTTTGACGGTGACCGCACCGTTGTCGGCCTACATCCGTCCGCAGCAGCAGATGGTGGACGCAGGGTCGGTGGCCAACATGAATTGCACCATCGCTGGAGACGCGGCCGGCCCTTTGGAGGTCGCGTGGTTCAAGGACGGACGACCCCTCAACATGGGTGGCCGCCACACTTACACGGAGGGAGGAAAAGTGCTCACCATTCACGGCGTGGCCAGGAATGACAAGGGCATGTACCAGTGCTTGGTCAGGGGAAGCGAAGACAACGCTCAGGGCAGCTCGGAGCTCACGCTAGGAGGTGCGATTTAAATACTGGAATTCAACCACATTTTGAATTTAAACTTTAATCCAATTTTTTTTTTAATTATAACGAATTTTATTTTATAATAATTATTTTAATAATTTTGTAATTTACATAATTGGAATCACAACTTTTTTTCATTTTTGCAAAGCCGTGGCTCCAGAGCTCCACGGCACCTTCATTGCTCAAACAATCCAGCCAGGGCCGAGCGTGTCCCTGAGATGTGCGGCCTCAGGGTCTCCTCACCCACACATCACTTGGCTGCTGGACGGTGCAGAACTCGGGGGAAGCAACGGCCTGGTGCTCAATTCCTTCCTGGCCTCCGGAGGCGACGTCGTCAGCCACCTGAACATCACCTCTGCCAGGGTCCACCACGGCGGACTTTACACCTGCCTCGCCTCGAATGCGGCAGGGACGGCGTCTCACTCTGCCCCGCTCAATGTTTACGGTAAGATTTTTATGTAATTGTTTAAATATTAAATTAATATTCTTAACATATTTTAAACATTTTTCTTATTTAAATTTTTATAAAAAATAATTCATTTAATTTTATAAATATTTAAGGCACTCTTTTGTTTTGTTCTGGTCAATTCAGGGCCTCCTTCTGCACGGCCTCCTCGCAACCTGACCGTCGTCGCTGGCACTGACGTGTACCTGCGTTGCCCAGTGGCCGGATTTCCCATTTCCAGCGTGACCTGGCGTCAGGGGGATTCATCTCTGCCCGCCAACCCTCGACAAAGGGTCTTTTCAAATGGCACCCTGCTCATCAAAAACGTCGAGGGTAGCATCGATAGCGGGAAGTACTCCTGCGTCGTTTCTAATACTCAAGGACAATCTGCACAATCCAGTCTTGGCCTCGATATCATGAGTAAGTTAAAAGTATTAAAATAATTAAAATTAGGAAAGCAGCGTTGTAATAAAATTGTATTTTACATATGTTTTTATGAGTTCTATTTAAGTTTTCAGTGATTAATTTAAAAGTAAATCCAACAAATTGGATTAAATTATTTTCAGAGCCGCCAGAAATTGCACCTTTTCAATTTCCGGCCACTCTTCGAGAGGGAATGCGCGCCCAGGTGTCGTGCAGCATCATCTCCGGTGACTTTCCCATTTCCATTTCGTGGAAAAAGGACGGCGCCCCTCTCGCGCCCGAGCCCGACGTCGCCGAGCAGCAACACCAATTCTTCAGCAACCTTCTGTTCATGAACCTGGCCGCGAGACACTCTGGCCAGTACACGTGCATCGCCAACAACGCCGCTGCCACCGCCAACTACACTGCCAGACTCGTAGTCAGAGGTGAGAATTTCTAAAAATTAAATCAATTTCGCCCGAATTAAATTTTGCCTCTGACACACAAACTCGGAGAGCAAATTGCGGTCCCCTTGATTTTGGAGCAAATTTTAGTGAAAGCCTTTCATGCGTTTTGCCCGCAGTCGCTCCAATGTGGGAACTCGAGCCCAAAGATACGTCCGTGCTCTACCAGCACTCTGTTGTCCTTCACTGCCAGGCGAGCGGTTTTCCGCACCCGACGTCCACATGGATGCGGTCCAGAGGTAAAGTTTTGAACATTTTCTCCATTCCAAACCAATAGAAAGATCAACATCGACGAAAGACAAAGCAGATTCTATTTGTTTACTACTGAAAAGGGAATAAATAATTTGAAATTATTGAGAGACGGATGGAGGCAAATTCAAATTGTCCAATTCGCCTTTAAAAATTTTCACATTGGAGATAATAGGGCGATCCAAAAGGCTAACTTGGCCCAGGCTAAATTAACCTGGCCTGGGCTAATTTAACCCGCCATTCAATTTTGCTGGTGTGCTAAGTTAGCGCGGGGCTAAGTCAAGTTAGCCTGGGCCAGGTTAGGCTTTTGGATCGCCCTCATTAAATTTTTTGCTATTACTTTAGCATTTTATTTTTATTTCTAAAGAAAATCGCCAAATATTTTTCTTGGCACAATAGATGTGCAAGAAATGAATTTTGGGATAACTGTTGTTTTTTTTACATATATAATTTATAATAGTTGTTAAATAGGCTTCACAGATTTTATTAAAATACTGGATTAAAAAAATTGTTTCTAATAAACAGTAAATAATATTTATACAAAAATTCTGCTTTTTAGCCAGTTAACAAAATCGTAACAAAATAAAGAAAAAAAATATCATTTAGTAAAATTTATAAATAAAGGTTTATTGATGGTGTGAATATTATTTAAAAATTCGCAAGGAAATTTTTTTATATATATTAATTTATATTTTGAAACTTGTTTTTGTATGAATTTCTTGCTAAGTAAAATTATTGTTATTATTACTGTTGATTTGTCCGCATTATTCCCAATTATTACATCACATTGTTTACATTCAATTCCTTTTGTTAAAAACAATTTAAAAAAAAAAGGGAAAAAAACTAGCAAGAATTTAGCTAAAACTTCCGAGATAAAAAAGACCCCATCTGCCGCAGTGAAAAGTTAAATAATTTTAATAAATTAATCAAATTAGAAATCTGCTTTTTTCTATAAAATTTTCATTGTGAACCGTTTCTGAGCGACTCCATTTCTCATGAGCAGATTGCGACAGATTGTTTTAAATTGAATCAAGTGACCTTAGTAACATTAAGAAAGACCCGTCGTGCTTCCCGCGAGCGGGTATGCGAGAGAAATAAAAAGGAAGCACCCTAGATTCAGAGTATGGCAAAAAATCGCGCAGGCCTTGCTTTCATGTGAGTCACGTAGGGGCCAAAACAATAAAGTTAAGACTTGCTACAGGTTCGGCGTCAGACGAGTTCGTCCCTCTGCAGCCTGGTCCCCGTCAATTCATCGCTAACAATGGCTCCATTGTGATCCACGCGGCCGACTCATCTCATCAGGGCCACTACATGTGCCAGGCAAACAATGGCATCGGCCCCGGACTGAGCAAATCAATTTTCCTCAGAGTCAGTGGTGAGTGAGAAACACGCCCTTTTTGTCTCTGATTTTCTCTACGAAATACAAAACTTCTATTTTTCTGCTTCTTTCAAGCTGTTTGATTATAATTGATTGTAATTAAAAACTAATGAACTAAATTTCATGCGATGCTAGCAAATAATTATGCAACGGAATCTTAATGTTATCAAACAATCTACTTGCGGGTTTTGAGTAGAAATCCTTTTTTTGCATGAGTTACAATATGGAAATAAATTTTTCTTCACAAAAATTTACTTTTATGGGCCTCATTAGAATCTCGCCGGTCCTTAAACGATGGTACAGCAAACAGCATCAATTTTGATTTATGCTTTTTTAAAGTTTTTATTTTAAAAATAAATATGAAATCAATAAAAAAAATTGACTTTTTTAAGATGCAGTATCAAAATTATTGAATCATATTTGGAATCAAAAATAATTTTAATACCTTTTATGATCTTTCAATAAAATTTTATTATAATAGACAATCAATAAAAAAGTTAACGTAAGAAGACGTCCTCTGACACAATTATCAGTTTTAATTTCGTATCAATATGAGCACACCTGATCAAAGCTCAAAAATATTTATACTCTTTTAGGAAAACACATTAGAAATTGTTTAAATAAACAGCTAGCAAAAAACAAATTAAATTGTTTTAATTAAATAATAAAATAAAATAACAATGTAATGTATAAAATTAAAATAAAATTATATATAATTATATAGGCAGATAGTTTAAAAAGCATAATTCAAAGAAGCGATAAGATTTATTATTAACTTTTAAAATGAAAGTTGTTATAAAAAAATTTATTTGTCACATTTTTTAAATGAAAATTTGATGTCTGAAGAAATAGCCGCTATAAAATCAATAATGCCAAAAAAATTGAATAATAATTTATCTATCACGCCAGTTCCAGCACATTTCAGCCAACGGGCGATCAACCAGAGCGCCGTGGCGGGCGAGTCGACGGTGCTCGTGTGTCCCGCGCTTGGAGACGCGCCGCTGCGAGTGACGTGGGTGTCCGGGCCGCGCTCCCTGTCCATGGGGCAAATGCGCGAGGTGTCGACGACCGGGGGCGGCGTGGCGGCCGAGCTGCACCTGAACGCCCTCACGCGCCGCGACACCGGCGCCTACCGCTGCGTGGCCAGCAACGAGTTCGGCCAGGACGAGCTCACCCTCCACTTGAACGTCAAGGGTACGTACGAAGGAAATTGCATGTGTCACTTGCCGCGCTAAAGAGGAAATTAAATGAGCGAGCGCCAGACGATCTGATGTGCATTTCGAGCTTTGTTTGCGGTGGGAAAATGAATCGCTTTAACCCTTTCCGCGGATTGAGGATGTTTTGCAAGTTAATCATCTGGTATTTTGCTTGTGACGTTTTGCATTAGGAATTTATAAAATGGATTTGGATTCCATTAAAAAAGATCAGGAATCGCTTTTATTTATAATGTTTAAATTTTATTAATACTCTTTAAGCATACAATATATTTTATCCACAATTTAATGTGAGCTTCAAATTCTTTAAGAAATTTTCTTAAAATATTTAATAATAATTTATTTAATAAACGTTTAATTTTATTTTCAAAAAAAGCCACATTAATTATATGGTTTATCTCATTAAATTCATTTTTTTTTCGGTGTCTCTGCATTCATTTGTAAGAGAAAAATCTGCATCACTGTTTAATATGAATAACATGCTTGCCGGCTTGAAACTTTCAGAGCCTCCCGAATCTCCGACCGGAGTTGCTCTTCAGGAAGCGACGAGCAGATCAATTACCATTGGATGGTCGGCTCCGTATTCAGGTCATGCAGCAATTTCACATTACGTGGTTCAATATAGAGAACAACACACTACGCTTCCAGCCAGGTAAACGCTCTTGGAATATCAAATTTATAGGCAAGGATTTGGTTGAGTGCATGACTTGGTACAAAATTAAAAAAAAGCCCATCATTTATGTCAGTACAGCAGCAAACATCCTTTTTCCAAACACTTGTTTTCAATGTAGAAAAAAATTTCTGATCAAAATGCGATAGTTATACACTTTTTTAATTTTTTTTTTTTATTTCTTCATTTCACTTTTTTTTAAGTTATATATTGGCAATAAAAAATTACAGAGAGACGGTGTGTGAATGAATATTTTCTCAAAATATTCATTACCTGTGCAAATGTTTTAGTAAAAAGAACAAGGAAATGTAAAGATTTGGCTTTTTCTTTGATGCTGAAATTGGTTTTTATTCAAAAGAAAATGGGCTCTATCAGTTTTGGTCACGATCTGTGACCATATTTCATGAGCAAACGTTCAATTTTCGTTACGAGGAAAAACTCAATCTTTTAATTTTTATAATCATCTCCTCTTCTTTAAATAAAAAGGGCAATAAAAAGCTAGAAATTTTTAAGGAAGCTTTTTCCTAGTTGTAAAAATTTATAAAATATTGCAAAACTAAGAATTGTGACTCAATATAATTCTTTTCTAAATACATTAAATTTTTATGCGTTGGATTTATGCAAGGGAAATAAAGACAACAGAGAAACATTAATAAAATAAAATAATTGAAATTGTTAAATCTTTTGTAAGAAGTGTTTCTAAGAAAGCATATTAACGAACATATACATATTATCTATAAATACTCTAAAATTTAACAGTGAAATAAAGAAATAAAGAGCAAAAATCACTCTCACGACTTTCTAATTGAATAAAATAATTATTCAAAAAGAACAACTACCCAACCGCTGAAATTGCATAGAAGCTATTTTTATTTTAATTAATTTGCTTTTTTTAATACAAAATTTAAATGAATAAAAATTTTATTTAATAATTATTATTTATTTTGTTTATAAAATAAGCAATAATTTTGCAGGTATTTATTAGAAAATAAATAATAATTCCCATTTCAATTATCGTCAATACGCTTTTAAAATAAGATTTTGCTTTTGTGAATTCACGATCTTTAAATGATTAAATCAAAATGAAATTTTGCATGTGAATGACAGCATAAGTCCCCCGAACTCGCCGGAGAGCACGTGGCAGAACGCGACCGTGGGCAGCGATGTGAGGAACGCGCGCGTGTCCGGCCTGCGACCGGCCACTGCCTATTTGCTGCGCGTCATGGCCGTCAACGAAGTGGGCCTCGGCGCGCCCAGTCAGCCCGCCCTGCTGGCACTGACCACCCAAGAGGGTAAGCAACCCGCCCACCGCAAAACGACTGCAAATTAAGTAATTTATCTTCAGCGCCGAGTGGACCACCTGTCGACGTGTCCGCCGAGTCGAGTTCGCCCGACAGCCTACAAGTCAGATGGAAGGTCAGCCAATTCTGTGATTTTTTGCTTCCTAAAGAGCTTCGCTTTCGCGCTCAGCTGCTCTCTCGACGGTTAAATCGGCCGTGCTAAAGGGTCGCTTCAGCCGCCGAAAGAAGGAACGGGAAAATAAATTTTTATTTGCCATTGCGCTCAGGCCCTTAGGGTCGTCAATTGCAGGCACAGACTAAAAGAAAGCAATCATGATTTGTTTGGGAATTTTTTTTCCTTGGATAAACATAAGTCATTTGCTTTGATTACGTTTTGAAACTAAATTTATAAAATGCAGCAAAGAATTGATTTGTCGGTAGAAAAGGCAATAAAACTTTTAAAAAATGTTGATAAAAAAAGTTATTGAAGATGAAATTCAGGTTAAAATTCACTAATTTTTTTTTATATATATATTTAAAATTTTTATTCAATCTTAAAGAGAGCTTAGAATTGAAATTTATCACATTTCCCGGATCTACTTTACAAAAAAGTTTTTACTTTGAATATACGGGTGATTAAAAAAAAAATTTAAATGAGACAATATATTATTTGGTGCAATTCTAGTGCGAGTTCATAATACAATGAAAAAAAAAAATAATTATTTAATCTCCTCAAATATTTTTATCTTTTTAAATAATCAAGGGATCTAAAATACTTTTGTGAAAATTTTAGATCTTTTGATTAATTTTTAGGAAACCTAAATACTTGACCTTTCGTAAATAATAAATTGGTTGTGTTTGCCTCATTTTGTGGCTTTGTTAAATTTTTTGAGGGTACCGTTTGTGCTCAAGTCTCATCAAACTTTTGTGACTAATTACCAAGCAAAATTGATGACGCGTTGTCGCAACAAACAAATGGTCTGCGGTCGCCCATTAAGCAAACCTAATTTTCTTTCGCCCCGCAAACGACCCTCGCCCGGACGAAGGGTCGCTTGCTTGTCACTTATTGTCGCGGTGCCAAGCACGTGCGCGCTCACAATATAAACAGTCTGGGGCGCAATTAGCCGTAAGAGGTGCTTGGTACGTGTGTATGTTTGTGCTGAGAGAGAACTTGATATTTTGACAGCCGCCCGCGTCGACCTACTCGAACGGCGAAATCCTCGGCTATCAAGTGGCGTACAAGGAGGTGTCCGCCCTCGGCGAGTCGCCGCCGCAGCTGCGGAGGGTGAGGGGCCGCAACCGACTCGAGATCAACCTCTCCGACCTCAAGCAGTTCACCAGGTATCAGATTACTGTCAGGGCATTCAACCAAGTTGGACACGGACCCTCGTCGCCGCCGCTCATTGTCACGACCAAGCAAGGGGGTGAGAAATCTTACTCATTTCTTACATTTTTTCTTGAAAATTCGCTCTTGCAGAGCAATTTGTTTTTTGGGAAACAACAATACTAATTAAATTTAAAAATTTTGATTTAGAGTTATAAAAATTCACAATCAATTCAATACAACAGGAATTTTTTATTGAAGGATTTAAATTTATTCATAATTTGCAGTTCAAAGGTTAAATGTGGGGATCTTTTATTTATATAAAAACTTGAATATTTCTTTAAAACGTCTAAATACATGTAAAAACCATTGTTTGATTTTTAATAATTATTTTCATTATCTTATTGACCAAAAATAAAGAGAAAGAAAATTAATAAACAATATATAAATATTAGAAAATAATTAAATAAACTAAAATAATTTTTATTAAATGTTTTTAATATATCTTTTCTTTATAATATCGTTCTTAATAAATTTCATCATAAAACCTTAATTTTTTTACATATTGATTTGTACCTTTTTTATCATATTTAGTTATTTGTCTCATTTTACATCACTATTTATATAATTTGAATTTTTTTTTAAAATTAATTATGCAATGGCAATGACTAAAAATACGGGCTCATTTATAGTGAAAACAAATAATGCAGTTCCAGAATCAGCCCCCACAAATTTCCGCTGCAAAATGCAATCATCCCAGAGTATCTGGACCCGATGGGACCCACCGCCTGTTGAAAAAAGAAACGGAATTATTGAGGGCTACAAAGTGTTTTATCAACTCGTTTCCTCATATTCAATTGGTAGCTGACTTCTGTGTAAAAGATGAAATTACCATTAAATATTTTCATTCCTCAGACTTGACGTCAGAAGTTGAGGTTAAGAAAACAACCAACCTAGAGACGAGCATCCATGGCCTCTCCTATTACGGCAACTACAGTTTGAGGGTGGCGGCGCACACAGCCGTCGGGGATGGTGTGCGGTCGGCCCCGATTTTTTGCACCACTGACGAAGATGGTAATAAATTGAGCCCATAACGTTCCCTTTTTTCCTCAGGCTAATTTACTTTTTGGCAGTTCCTGGTCCACCTGAACAAATTAAGGCCGTCTCCATGACGTCGGAGAGCATCTTGGTCACTTGGTCGCGACCGGCTCGGCCTAATGGGATCATCACGAGATATCATGTTTACATCAACGCAGTGCAGCAAAGCGGACCAAAAGTAAGCATTGTTTTTATTTATATATTTATTTATTAATTTATTTTTAACTGTTTAATTTAATGATTTGATAAATTCCTGTGTGGGTTGATTTATTTTCATCTGTAAGTAATTTTATTGTAAGTGCTCATTCTGGAATAAAATGGAATTTTTTTATTCCATAGTTTTTTTTTCCAGCGACGAAAAAAAATATTTTATTTGAATGAACGTTAACACTACAACTGTTAGGCAACCTGCTGGGCCTCCGTGCGCAGCAGGTTGCAGCACGCAATCGAGATAAGCTCTCCCCTCCTTGGTTTCATGCCAAATTATAGGCAGAGATTGCCGAAGCCATTCATTTCACAGCCAAATGTAATATTATCCTCTTTCAGGAGGTAATCAAAGAGGTTGTTTTCGGCGATCGCGATCCCACTTTTGAAGCGCGCAGACTGAAGGAATTCACAACTTACGAATTCTGGATCACGGCCTCTACAAGAGTGGGCGAGGGTCAGCCGAGCGCCAAAGTCACCCAGTCACCCGTTTTGCGAGGTGAATAAATATACATATTATTTTCCCCAGAAAACTGCAACCCGAAATTCCATTTTCAGTCCCTGCTCGCATCGCCGGCTTCTCTCGAAAGCACGTCGTCAACTTGGGCCAGGCAGTGAGCCTGAGTTGCATAAACGTGGGGCTTCCAGCGCCGGAGAAAGTTTGGAAGTTGCAAGGACGAACCCTCAGCTCATCCGACAGCGCCAATCTGCAAATTATGCCTGACAACAGCCTTTCGGTGGCTTCGGTCGGAACTTCTGACCAGGGAAACTACACGTGTCACGTCGAGAACATTTACGGCAAGGACGAGATACATTACGAAGTGGTTGTTAGGGTGGCACCTTCCATTCCAACCCTGAACGTGCTGGCCGCTGGAAGCAGTAGTCTCACTCTTCAGTGGAGACTCACCGACGACGGAGGCAGCCCAGTTACAGGTAAATACAATTTAAAACAATTTTTTTCCATAAATTTAATTAATTTTTATTAAATTATTGAAAAACTTAAGTTATAAAAATTATTTTCTAAATCTTATAAAAATTTAATGAGCTATGATTTCATCATTGCAGCCTTTGTAATTCACTATAGAAAGGAAAACGCCATTGAGTGGCAACATCACATGGTGGACGCAGACAGAAGAAACTATGTCTTATCAAAATTGGCCTGTGGAACATCCTACAACGTCCACATTTCTGCCATCAACAAAGTCGGCAAAGGAAAGCACAGCCCCACGACCTCCGTTTCAACCAAAGGATCTGGTAAATTTTTCATTGTATTTTAATATCAATTTTCTTGATAATTATTAAAAAATATTCAGCTCCGAGAGCGCCGACCCAAGAGGAATTTCTCGAAGTCAACTCCACCTGCGTGACCCTTTTCTTGGACTCGTGGCCCAGTGGAGGGTGCGCCATAAATTACTTCACTGTGGAGCTGCGGGAAGCTCGTCAGGGTGTGCCGTGGACCCTGATTTCCAGCAAAATCTCACCAGACCAGGGAGAAGTGACTTTGAAGGACCTTCATCCCTCCCGATGGTACTCAGTCAGGGTTGGTGCGCAAAGTGACACCGGTTCTGCCCAGCAAGAATATCTTTTCGCCACCAGAAACTCTCTTGAAGGTAAAATAATTTTGGCTTTTCCGAATTTTGGTGATAATTTTATTTATTTTTAGAAATCGTTATGCCTGACATGGAACCCCAAAGGCCGGGATCGCAGCACTCTGTGTCCTTCACCGACCCCACTGTAATTGTGCCAATCATCTCTGGTCTCATTTGCACAGCCGCTGTTGCTGTCTGCGTGTGCATAGTTGTCAGGAGGAGGTTGTAAAAATTTAAAGAAAATATTTGTTTATAATTTAAATTAAAATAAAAATTTTTAGGCAATACGAGGGCTACCAGCAAAGCTCAAGCAGCAGCACTAGCGTGACCACGGCAGAGCAGAACCGGTACTTGGGGAAAACGCTCTTGATGGAAATGGAAAACAAGAGGAACGCGGACCAGCAGCACCACCGAGGCCAACTTTACTCGCCCAGCCCTGCACGTAAGGCAGCCGATTCTTCCCTGAGCTGTCACAAAGGCAGTGATACCACTTCCGGTATGCCCCTCACTTTCTCGCACGTGCTTTGCTCTCTTTGAATGGCCACAATTACTTTTAACTTTTAATTGCACCAAGAATTACTTTAATTTTTTAAAGGCTTCCTTTTCATTTTATGGTATAAAAGTAATATATTTCTCTTCTTGAACAGATTTTTTGTTTATTTCATGCAAGTTATTCAGAAAAGAGGCAATTTTTTTTTTAGATTGACGCTATTTCTAGATTCATTGGGATAAAATTGTACAAATTTTAAAATCATATGCTCATTCAAGGGACAAAGATAAGAAAGAATTGATTTTTTAAAAGAATAACTAATTATTGCACGGCTTCCCCTTGCTTCCAATTTCTCCTATTGTTTCCTATCTTTAAATTGAATGTTGAATATTTGTTTTTAATTTCATTTTATTACTATCAACGAAGTCCTATTTCTCCTGCGATTAAAATTTTAAACGGTAGAGGTGGTAAATTTGATTCCAGCCCAAGACTATGAAATCTGCCCTTACGCGACGTTCAGCCTGAACACGGCGCCGCCACCGCCGCAGAACAACGGCCACCAGACGATGGACTATTGCATGCAGTTCCAGACGTTCAGCCAGCAGGACTGCTACGCCGGCCAGCCGAACACGTCGTCGTTGGCCTCGGCGCAGACCAGCAGCTACAAGGGCGGCGGAGGCGCGGCCAACAAGGAGTACTACTCGCGGGTGCGCCGCAAGTCCAACGGCCGCATCATGACCAACGCCGGCGAGGCCACCTGCTTACCAAAACGTACATCCAATAGCCCTCCAGATGGTCTCAGTTTAGGTACACTCCCTGTACCTAAAACCTTGCTCCTCTGATCTTAAAAAAAAAATTATAAAAAAAATTCCCTGACCAAGAGACCTAGATTTAGAATTTCACAATTTTTGTTCTGCCAATTTACTTCTGAAATGTGTTTTTGAATATTTGCAGAGATTTCTTGCATATCAAGCCAGCAGACTCTGCCTTTGAGCAGTACTGCTGGCGTGTCCTCTTCGAACGGGGGTCGGAGTCGGCAGAGCAGGCACTCGCCGCCACCCATGGGACGTCCACGAAGTTGTGCCATGGCTGACAGTGCTGACTCGCAATCGGACAGCAGTGCCAGCAGGGTGAACGCCAACTTCAGCTCCAGATCCACATATCACTTGCACAGTCAAAAACAAGGTAAATCATATTTTTAGCAAACAATAAATAAATTTAATTGTTTTTTCTAAATTACTCTTAAAAAAATTAATGCAAAGTGTCATTTTTCTTTTCTATAATTTGTTTTAAATTTTCTTTTGTATGTAAATTTATGAAATTTAATAAATTTATTATATCACCATAGGTTTCTTAAGTTAAATAAATTATAAAAATTACTTTTAATATGTATACAATCTTATTTATTCAATTTATTTGGATAAAATTATTGTTATATAATGATTTTTTTTTAATTTGGTTTTATTATTATTAATTCTTCTTGGATAATACTAATAAATCTTTAATCGGAAATAAAGTAAAAAAGTAGTTTAGGATTCACGCTGATTTTAAATGCAATGCACAACACCAAATTATCCTTCCATCAAATTATGAAACACTCATTACATAGAACATTAATTAAAACTAAATCACACTTTTTCAGACAAAATGTATGAGCGGGACTCGAGCACCGAGTCGGCCGAGGCGTCGCCCGAGGTCACGCACAGGTCGCGCAGATGTGAGGGGCCAACCAGGTAGTTCAAGTAGGTGGCAGGTAGTTCGGCCCCTTGCACCCCCGAGCGCCGCCAAGAGCTGGTAACACTGACGCAGCCCTCTCGTTGCAGGCGGCCAAGTGGTGGCGGAGCCCTGGGCCAGAACCCCCTCCAGCCGCCCTCGGGCTTCTCGGACTCCCACGAACTGTCCGAGGCCGAGTGCGACCGGACGGAGCGAATTCCCAGCACCAGACCCCGAGTGGACTCGCACCAGATGCCGGGACTACCCCTTTTCCGTCACGAGCAACTCGAGCAGGAACTCGTTTCTTTAGTTAAAAGGTGTGATATATGCACTTCCCACTTCTCTTTAATTTGAATTTAAAAAAAAAAAAACATAAAAGTCTCAATATTAATTTAAATTTAAATTTTATTTTGTTATTATATCTTTGTTCAGAGTCAGGCCAAGACAAAGTGTCTTATCAGCCTGTGCCCTTATGAGCTTGCATAATTAATTAATTAATTTTTTTAGCAATATGTTGTTAATTTATATTATAAAGAATGATGAACAAAAATATTAAACAAATGAAATTTAGCCCACTTAAATTGGATAAGAATTTAAATTTTTAATTTGCTGCGACAGCTGCCCTTAGAAGCAACCATACCATAAAATATTTATAATTATATTAAATCTTAATAGTCTTAAATAGGAAAAAATGAAACTATACTTACAGAAAATATTAATATAATGTAAAAAAATGTATATTAAAAAAATAATATTTTGTTTAAATATAGAAAATGTGATAAAAATATAGTTATAATATCATATAACTTATTTAAATTATATAATTAATATTATATTTAAAAAATAAAAAAATATATGTATTTATAATTATATTCATTACAGGTACAGAAATGAACGAGACAAGGAGAAGCAGGACTACACCATTCACGTCTGAATAGACTGAGCGCTGACTAAATTAGGATAATGAACATTATGTGCGCGATTTTAAGTTTTCCATTTTTAATAAAAAAAAATTCATAAAAGTTCTATACTCAAGCTTCTTAAAACTGCTACTGGAAAATGGAAATTTTTGTCCAAAATAATCAGTGTTACACACCAGAGAAACCCTGACACGATTTAATGAGTTGCTTTTAGCCTATCGTTGTAATTTGTAACAAAAATATCGTTGCTACCCCCATTGTGATTAAAAGTGATAAAAAAGATTGTCATCAAAAGCTTACATGTGTATGAAATATGACTAAAATATTGGCAAAAGTTATAAAAATGTTCTGAACGTGTGGCGAAAAAATGCCAAAAATGTTTTAAAAAATAAAGTTTTTATTAAATCTCACTCACCCTTTGTATGTGAAAATGATTTGGTTTAATTTTAAAATTTCCTTCTTTATGGTATTTTTAAAAGTCTGTTGATAAAAGTATGCAAACAAAAAATATTAGTAACAAGTCGCTCTGCAGGTGTTTGTTGTTTTCATTAAAGCGTTTGGACAAACACATTTCTCAAAAGTAGCACCTGTCGAGTCAGTCAAAGGCGGACGAGCGCACTGAACGCTGCTAATGGCGCTCTACTTTTAAACAACTCTCAAAATGACAGGTATAGTTCAAACTTTTTCAAACTTTGATTAAAATAATTTTATTAACACGGTAGTTGGAGACGTGCCTGTTAATAATCGACCAAGCCTGCCAAGAGTTTTGTCATTTAGCAGGAGAGAAAATGATTTTCAACTGAAGTCTGCTGCATATTTAAATGAAGGTTTTGAAGCAGACGAAACTAATTTGCACGGTTAGAATATTATTTTAATTTTTTTTTATAACTAAATAGGCAAATTTATTATTATTTTTGTAGCGAAAACTCCAAATAACAAAAGCGAAAATTCTCAACCATCATTTGGTCCAAATGGAAATTCAATCAAGTAACTCTGAATTTAAATATAGAAATTCATGGTTTAATTTTGGATGATTTTCATTTAAGAATATGCGCCACAAATGTCTGGACAAAGTTGAGACAATCATCCTTCATTCCAACGCGATTGCGAGCGACTAGACTAACTGCACTTTGGTTGCTGGGCTTCGCGTCATGGGGAACAGTTCGCGACTCTATATAATAACGTGATCACCAAATGTCTTATTAAATTTTTTCACAAGGTTCTATTGCTGGTCGGCGCGGACGCAGCTCCGCCGAACGGAAAGTTGTGGCTTTTAATTTTGCTTTCGGTTGTGGCAAAAGCCGGCGGGTGGCTCGCGGTGCAATTGCGGCTGCCTGGGCTGTTGGGGATGCTCCTGGCGGGGATGGCCCTGCAGGCCGCCGGAGTGGTTTCAATTGAAGGTCCGTACTTAGGTCTCATCAGAGTAATAAGGTAATAAAAAAATATTTAAATGATCTGCAAACAATTAATTAATTACTTTTACTCTAATTCCTCAAATTGTTATGTTAAAAATTATTTTTTTTTTTTAAATTAGGAAAGCTTCCCTGGTCATAATTATGATGCGAGCTGGATTGGATTTGGACCCCAATTCTGTTAAGAAATTGAAATTCACGATTTTGAGGTTAGGCTGGATGCCCTGGGCAGTCGAAATGTGCTGTGTTGCAGGCATGGCAAAGTGGCTTTTTGACATGACCTGGTCTTGGGCCTTCATGCTAGGGTAAAGTAATTGCTCAGTCAAATGTGCGCAACCCATATCAACACAGACATATTTATATGAATTTTATTCAATTTTTTTTTTCTCAATTTCTTCTTCAAAAATCAGTTGTTTTTCTCGAGTTTCATTGTTAGATTTCATCTTGCGGATTTAGATTTTCAAAGCCTTGGAAAATACGAAACCGGTTTTTTTTTCTAAATAGTAAAATATTAGTGTAGGTTGGCCTCAGAATCCAATGCAAATTCAATAGAAATTTATTCAAATTCATATATCTGTGTTGTGCAGTAATTCAACTTTTTTTCATAAGTTCTATTGAAATATTAGTGCTGTGGAGGCAGCAGTGTCACCAGCAGTGGTTGTTCCAAATTTGATTTTGCTGAGAGAAAAGGGTTTCGGCGTGGTTCAGGGTGTCCCAACCTTGGTGCTCGCGGTGACGGGAATCGAGGATGCGATTTCCATTGCTACTTACGGAGTTATCACCAGCATCATGTTTAGCACAGGCAAATTAACAATTATTATTTTTTTTATAGTTTTTAAAATAATTTACTTCCAGGGTCTCTGGTATTTTCAATTTTGCAAGGCCCCCTGTCCGTTTTCGCGGGCATATTAACAGGGGTGCTGATTGGATTTCTATCAAAGTTTGTCCCTGATAAAAATGACGTAAATAAATTAAATTATTTTGATTTTCCCGTAATAAAGATTTCCCAACAGCCGTACGTGATTTCGATTCGCGTTTTTCTTCTCTTACTCGGCGGCCTGGTGGCCGTTTTGGGCTTCGACCGCCTCAGTTTGTCCGGTGCGGGGCCGCTGGCCGTGATCGTGGCCGCCTTTGGTGCAGGAACGGCCTTCGCCTACCAAGGCTGGCCGGTCGGCCAAAATCAAGTCGCCCTAACTTTTGGCGTGCTCTGGCAATTTTTCGAGCCAGTCGTTTTTGGCCTCGTCGGCGCTCAAATCAACGTGGTCGAGCTCCCAGCAAACACGGTTGGACTTGCGGCCGCGTGCGTTTTCGGACCAGCACTGGTAATGGAAAAAATAATTTTAAATTTAAAACCTTTTTTATTTTCTGTCCTTATGGAGAAATACGTAAACAATAAAATGAATTTTTGTATTATCTTGTTTGTTAAAGGTGAGGTTTATTGTCACGCTGGTGCTTCTTTCCGGAAGTTCATTGAACTTGAAGGAAAAGTTTTTCGTTGCTCTGGCATGGATGGCAAAGGCGACAGTTCAAGTAAATCAAATTAATTAATTAAATTGAAGTTATTTCGGCATAATTATTTTAAAAGGCTGTTCTTGGACCTGCGGCACTTGACTTGGTCAGGAATACTGAAGACAAGCAGCTTGCCGAGTTCGCAAACATAATGTTTATCGTGTGCGTCATATCCATTCTGTTGACGGCACCCGTGGGCGCAATTCTGATTGCGACGACTGGGCCACGGCTCCTCAGAAAAGCAACGAACTCTGACGATAGGAGATAAAATTAAATAATCAGTTTTTAAAGTTCCTCATTGTTACTAAAGGTTGAAATTTTTAAAATGTAATTAAAGAGTGAAAAAATTATAAATTTATATTTTTTCCGGCACCAAAATAGTGATAAGAAATATATTGCAAGGCAAACAAATATTGTTTTGTTATCAAACACTGGTGGCACAATGTAGAGCTGCACGATACATCAGAGAGTCTTTTATCAATTTGGTCCTTATCAGTGTGGTGTGCGGATTATTGAAAATGTCTGATTCTTCCTGTTTTCACATACCCCGCCCAAAGTTGAAGATATCAATATGAGATTTTCACCACTTTACCATCTTAGTTTGGAAGCGACTTTCCTAAATTTTTGACTAAAAATTTTCAAAATTGCGGGTTTTGCGGGACATTTTGGAAAAACAAAAAAACGTGATTATCTCAGCTTCTGGTGGTCGTAGAACAATTTTCCGGGTACGGCTGAACTCGTCTTAGCAAGTTCTACAACTTTGCTGTTGAATGTAAAATTTTAAGTCAAAGGTCAAGGTCACTTTTGGTGACCTGAAATTTTCAAACTCAAATTTGGAAATGTGCTGCATGATGAAAATCATTTTTGAGATAGCCATTCGATTTATCATGAAATTTTACGTAATATATGTCAAAATTGCGATGTTGATATTTTTAGTTTAATTTAAATAAAAATAAGAATATTAAAAAACGTAGTTTTTCGCACCTCGGCAGGCAGTGTCAACAATATAATCGTCTGTAACTTTTGTTCTGATGATTTTAGGTACAAAGTAGTTATGACCAAAGTTAATCTCCACGTCAAGACCAATCGATTGGTGTGTATGTCAATGACCTTTGGTGACCTTGAGGTCAAAGGTCACTCAGGTCGGTGACCTGGGGTCACGCGACCTAAATGTGTGATACGTACTTAGAAAGGTCTTGTCAAGAGGATAATTTTAGTCACCAATTTTTTTACTTTACGTCTACTACAAAGCAAGTAATCTCTAATTTCCAATAAATTTCACTCAAAATACTGCATTTAATTAGGAAAAATTATAATTATTCGATTTGTAGTAGACGTAAAGTAAAAAATTTGGTGTCTAAAATTATCCTCTTGACAAGACCGTTCTAAGTACGTATCACACATTTAGGTCGCGTGACCCCAGGTCACCGACCTGAGTGACCTTTGACCTCAAGGTCACCAAAGGTCATTGACTTACACACCAATCGATTGGTCTTGACGTGGAGATTAACTTTGGTCATAACTACTTTGTACCTAAAATCATCAGAACAAAAGTTACAGACGATTATATTGTTGACACTGCCTGCCGAGGTGCGAAAAACTACGTTTTTTAATATTCTTATTTTTATTTAAATTAAACTAAAAATATCAACATCGCAATTTTGACATATATTATGTAAAATTTCATGATAAATCGAATGGCTATCTCAAAAATGATTTTCATCATGCAACACATTTCCAAATTTGAGTTTGAAAATTTCAGGTCACCCAAAGTGACCTTGACCTTTGACTTAAAATTTTACATTCAACAGCAAAGTTGTAGAACTTGCTAAGACGAGTTCAGCCGTACCCGGAAAATTGTTCTACGACCACCAGAAGCTGAGATAATCACGTTTTTTTGTTTTTCCAAAATGTCCCGCAAAACCCGCAATTTTGAAAATTTTTAGTCAAAAATTTAGGAAAGTCGCTTCCAAACTAAGATGGTGAAGTGGTGAAAATCTCATATTGATATCTTCAACTTTGGGCGGGGTATGTGAAAACAGAAAGAATCAGACAAATGCAATTTAACTAATAGACAAGTGTTGGATGGCAACACTTAAATACACAATTAGTTCGAAATTCAACCTGCTGTTTTCACCTCAACATGGCTTTTTGCTAATTATCTCCTAGTACCTTGTATAGGAATTTTTCAAGGTAAGTAATTTGTTCTTAATAACTTAATTAATTAATTAAATTTAAACAAGGACCGAATCTCAATGCCGAAAACAAAAAGAAACCGCTCTTTTCTTCCTAGTCGGCAGATTGTTTCACGCCTGACAGCACTATGGGTGCTTGGAATCACGTTCTGGTGTTCGGTTGAGATATTTTTTTTATTTTTTATTGCTTTTATAATTTTCTCATCAATTCAAAAGATTCTGCTATTGCTCGGAGAAGATGCTCTTCCGCCAAATGGACAGCTCTGGCAATTAATTTTATTGGCCCTTGTTGCCAAAGCTGGGGGCTGGATTTCCGTTCAAATTCGACTGCCAGGTTTGCTGGGGATGTTACTAGCGGGGATGGCTCTGCAGAGCGCAGGTGTTGTCACCATTGAGGGAAAGTATTCAGATCTCATCAAAATAATAAGGTGCGCCCTCAATACACTTATTTTAATTATTATTTGCTATTAAATTTCTTTACAGAAAGGTTTCTCTAGTCATAATTATGATGAGGGCTGGATTGGATTTGGATCCGAAGTCTGTGAAAAATCTGAAATATTCGATTCTGACTCTGGGCTGGATACCGTGGGCCATTGAAATGTGCTGCGTGGCGTCCATGAGCTGGTGGCTATTGAATCTATCTTGGCCTTGGGCTCTTATGCTTGGGTATGGTTTTTTATATTAATTTAGCATGAATTAATTTTTTTATTAGTGCCATCGAGGCTGCGGTTTCTCCTGCAGTAGTGGTACCAAATTTAATTTCCTTGCGAGAGAGAGGCTTTGGAGTGGCCAAAGGTGTTCCCACCCTAGTCTTTGCTGTGACCGGAATTGAAGACGCGATCTCAATTTCCGCCTTTGGAGTTATTAGCAGCTTGATTTTTACGAGCGGTAAAATTTTGACAGGATCTATATCTGATATTTATATTATTAATTTTTCATAAAATTTTAGGTTCGTTGATTTTCTCAATTATACAAGGTCCGTTATCAGTTTGTGCTGGAATTCTCACCGGAGGCTTAATTGGACTAATATTAAAATTCGTGCCAGATAAGGACGATGTAACTAAAATATTAATATTTTAATTAAATTGAAAAATAATAAAAACCTAATTTTCCAGCCATACGCGATATCAATTCGCGTTTTTATGCTTTTGCTCAATGGTCTCGTCGTAATTCTGGGATTTGACTATTTAAATCTGTCTGGAGCTGGTCCATTGGCGATAATTGTGGCCGCCTTTGGAGCAGGAACAGCTTTCGTGGGTCAAGGAATGCCGGTGGGCCAAAATCAGGTTGCTCTGACCTTTCGAGTTCTGTGGCAATTTTTCGAGCCCATCGTTTTTGGACTTGTTGGTGCTCAAATTAAGGTGGCTGAGCTGCCGATTGAAACGGTGGGATTAGCAGCAGCCTGTGTTGTCGCTCCACTTTTGGTAATTTTTATTTTTTATCATGAAAACATTTAAATTATAAAATCTAATTGAAATTTAAAATTATCTTTCCTTGTGATAAAATTATGATAAAATTTTCAGATACGATTTTTGGCAACGCTAGTGCTGCTCACAGGAAGTTCATTTAACGCCAAAGAGAAAATTTTCGTTGCTTTGGCGTGGATGGCAAAAGCAACTGTTCAGGTATCAAATTTTTCACATCTTTATTTCCATCTAAATAAACAGGTTTTAACAAAAAAATGTATTATTAAATAGGCCGTGTTGGGACCCGCAGCAATAGATTTGGTGAAGGATACCGAAGATGAGAGCTTATCTGAGGCGGCGAAAATTGTATTCATTGTTTGTGTCACCTCGATCCTCTTGACAGCACCACTCGGCGCAGTTTTGATTGCAACAACTGGACCCAGATTACTAAAGAAAGCGAGCAGTAGTAATTTGGAGCGGAAAAGAGCCGTCAGACGCGCGTCAAGTGCAGAGACAACAAGCTTTTTAAGAATTGAAAATAAAATTTCAGTTTCACCTGAGTTAATTTAAAAATGAGAGCAAAAAATTAAATTTCTGCTTTTTGCCCTCAAATAAATATTCCATTAATATAATAAAAAAAATTCTTTTCATTGTTTTCATTATTGGGTCAAGATTTGAGTGAATAATATCAATCAAAATGTTTCTTATCATAGGCTTATGGCTTATTATTCATACAGCATTATATATGAAAATTTTCGTTCATTTGTAATCAGCTCAGATTGATCTACTGACGAAAAAACTTGTATGTTAATTCTCAAGTGGCTGATAAAGGTTTTTAGAGACCCAAACTTATAAAGCGCCGAGATTCGGTTAATTTTGCCACTTCATCATGATGATCCGATTGTCGGCAACTTTGATCCTCGGCCTTTTGGTCGCCCACGTAGCAGGTAAAATTCGGCTTTAATTTTTTTTTAATTAATTTTAAATAATTTGATTTTAATTAAGTGGGCGCTCCAAGCCGCAAGGTCGTTCCTCCCGCCGGGGGTGAGGACTGGGGCTACATTGACGTGAGGACCGGTGCCCATATGTTCTACTGGCTGTACACCTCGACCGCCGCCCCTGACCCCACCACTTTGCCCATCATCCTCTGGCTGCAGGGCGGCCCTGGCGGCAGCAGTACCGCTTACGGAAATTTTGAAGAAATGGGACCTTTGGATGTCAATCTGCAGCCCAGAAACTCCTCATGGGTAACTTTTGCTCAAATTTGATATATTTGGGAAAATAGGTGATTTTCTTTGGTTGAGGTGGCGGTTTTTTTTTAAGAAATAAATGACAAATAGCTTTTTAATTGCATGAATTAATTTTTTAAAGCTATTTTTAATTAGTAATTTTTATGATTTAAAAGTTTTGATTTTGGATAAAATTTTCAATCTAATATAGTTATGAAAAGATATAAGAGGTGAAAATATTTGACCGGTATAAGTGGGTCTTAAATATTAAATTCTAGTTCATTTTAAAAATAACACCAATTCTTCCCATCTCTAATTTAAATCACTTGTGATTATACCTGAAAAAACTCGACTTTTGTAGGTCCATCACGCCAACTTGGTGTTCATCGACAACCCTGTTGGTGCTGGCTACTCATACGCCGACAATTTGGCCGACTTGGCGACGGACACCACCCAGATCGCCATTGATTTGGTGGAGTTCATGAGGCAGTTCTACGTCACATACCCCGAATTCCTCAACACCCCCGTCTACTGTTTCTCGCAGTCATACGGTGGAAAAATGGCCGCTTTCTTCGGTCTAGAAATGGATAGGGTAGAAAATTTAAATTTTTAAACGAAAGGCCTAAATTTCAGTAATAAAATATCTCTCTAGGCTATCAAAGCAGGTGAAATCGTGAGCAACTTCAAGGGTGTCGCCCTTGGTTCTGCCTGGATCTCCCCGATCGACTCGACCACCAGCTGGGCACCCTACCTTTTGCAAACTGTAATTTTTTTATTTGAAAATGAATGGAAAAAGTTTCATTTGCAATTTTAAAGGGCATCATTGATACCAGGGGTCACGATTTCATCAACAACTTTGCCGCCGGCTGCCGCGACTTGGTGAACAACGGCCAGTGGACCGAAGCCACCCAGTGTTGGTCGGACACCGAGATCTACGTCCTCATCTACGGACACAACGTCGATTTCTATAACATCCTGTACAGAACCCCTCCCATCTTCCTTCAGGAAATTCTTGAAATTAAGGATCCCAGGAGTACGTTCATTTACGAAAATTACAGAGTTTTAAATAAATATTTCAAATTTAGAGCGAGCCTACAAGTTGGCGAATAGGGGTTCTAAGGCCGTTGAAGACCTCATGAACGGACCAATTTACGACAAGTTGAGCGCAACCTTGCCCTACCTGAACCCTTGGGACGCTCAGGGTGACGCCGTTTTCGATGCAAACTGGGACGATTTCATGAAGCCCGCCATCAATGCTGGTTTATTTGAGAATAATTCCAATTTTTTTTAGCTAATTTTTTACTTTTACTTTCCAGTCGAAAGGTTGCTCGACGAAACCGAACTCACAGTTGCTGTTGATAACGGCCAGCTTGACTTGATTTGCGACACTCCTTGTAAGTGACACAAAACAACTCTTTTTGTCATTTATCTTATCTCTAAATATGTAAATATATATACTGAGGTTTTATTGTATGTAACATTTAAAATTCTCTGCTTATTTCTCTTAATAACAAATAATATAAATATTTAATATTTAAATAATTTTAATATGTTAAAAGCACCCCATAAAAAATAAAAAATATTGTATTGAACTAAATTGTTTGAAAACTGTTGCATTGTAGGCATGCATATATTTATTTATTTATTTAATTATATCAGTTGATTTTTAAAATAATATGATTTGATGGAATTACTAATATTTAAACATTAATTTTGACTCATTTTGTTTCTAGCCCAAGTGGTATGGTCTGAAGCCATGAATTGGTCACAGGTCGGCAGCTGGTTGAGTGCTTCCCGCAACGCTTTCACCGTTGACGGTCTCACTGAGGGTTACAACAAGCGATTTGGACGCTTCAGTTTCTGGTGGATCAACCGCTCTGGTCACTCGGTAAGACTTTCTTGGTATTTTTAAACTGGTTCGAAAATTATCTGTCTGCGCTTCATAGGTGCCTTTTGATAACCCGTGGGGCTCAATCGTCATGATGCGTGACGTTGTTGGACTGCCTCCGCAGAAGAACGTTGAATTCAACAACGAAGAAGCAGAGAGCAAGTAATATTTAGTTCTGAAAATAATAATAAAATTGCAACGTGATTTAATAAATGCGTCGTTTTTTTTTTATGTTTACATCAGTTAATAATTTAATACTTTAAAAAAAAAATTGCTGCAGAAAAGCATTCATTTTTTTAATACCTTTAATTCTCTCAGGCAAAAATATTTAAGAAATAATTTTTCAAAAGACTGAAACTGACTAGAAAGGGCAGCTTATCAAAAAATAAACATTGCTGTCATTTTTACTAGGCAACGAAAAATCCGAAAAATCTTTTAGGATTGGATTATTATTTAGGACATTATGATAGAACAATATTCTGGTGCTGTGTGACGTGACCTATTATTGTTGCTAACTTATTATTAACTAACATGCTTAGTGTTGTAGCAAACACACCATAATTTTAGTAATTAATTTGCTTTATTGGAAATTGGCACTAACACTATTTGTGGAACGACGCTTGAATCTCCGCCAAAATTTAAATCAACAAACGCTTAAAATTTACAAGGTTTTAATAAATTTATTACATATTTGGGTTGTAACATCCGGTTGGAGTTAATCAAGCGCAAAGCAAGAGTTTTTCTCTTGGCATGACTTTACAAATAAGCATTTGGTGATAACCTCAGTTAAATAAATGAAGCGCACAAGAGAGGTCATTTTCTACTGGTTCACAAGTGACACTCGGGCGATAAAACAAACCGCTCGTAGAGCCTCACACGGTCAATAACATTCAGATCTCTGAAAATAATCGATGCAAATATTTATTTGTTCTCAACGGGTATCCTAAAGTTTCTTAACGTGCAGAAAACTTGGATTAAGGTAAGGTTCCTTTTTCCATAAGAAATTATTCACTGCGCATTTTCTATTTTGTCTTTAGTGATTGAAAATAATGGCTCATCTTTTTTTTATTTAGGATGAAATATTTAAGTAAGATTTCTGTCCTTGTGACTTGCATGAACATTCTTCGTCCCATCAGGTCTCAGGAATACCAGCAACATCAGGAATATCAGGAAAACAGTCATGATCTGGTAGTTGGTATTAAATCTATTTCTATTGATAGCTAATTTTTTGAAGGAGCAAGGAATTTTTACCTCATTAAAAACTAGTACACAGCCATGATAAAGCATGGAGAATAATTAAATAATTAATATGATCATATATTATGTTTATTAATTAAACCAATAATGCTCACACATTATAAAATAATTAACTTTAAAAATATTAGTGTATAATTATTAGGACAATGACTAAAGTTAATGTCAGGATTTATTATAAAATTAAACATTGTCATCTTTAAAGAAAATAAATCTTACCGAGTGCTGGAATTACCAGAAGAGTAAGCCTCTTTACCCTGCTCCAGGTAAAAAATCATATAATTAGTATAAAATTCTATAAGAATGCAAATCAATGCGAATCAACGCAGAATATTTTAAAGGTAAAATTGAAAAATATTTTATTTCTGTAGTTTTTCGCGCTCACAAAATGAAGGAAAATCTGAGTTTCAAAGATTGTGGTGAATGGAAATCAAAGAAAGGAATCGCACCATGGCAAATTGTGATCAGAAAACAAAACAGACTAAACAGAGGTTGCGAAGGTTTGCTCATCTCAAAAAAAACAATCATCTTTTACAGCCAAGCATTTCGTAATATGGATTTTTATTACAAAAAAATTAGTTTCATAAAGTGAGTTTCTTCTAGACTGCTATTGGATTTTCAACACTACTGATGATGTAGACGAAATTATGTTATATGGTGGTGAATGTATAGATGAAAAACGTGAAAACTGCTTTAGGCGACGCAATTTGCTCAGTAAAGAGGTGAGTCAAAATCTTTATTTTATAAATTTACTTTATTGCAAGTTTTTAAAAAAAAAAACTTTCCAAAAATCTTTCCAGAATCACACCATTTATAGGAAAATACGATTTTAATAAAATTCTTTATCAAAATTTCATTAAATGTGATAGTTTATTTGCCTAATTAACAAACAAAAAACACACATTTAATAGAAAATTGTTGGGGATCAGGGGAAACATTTAATATTGTTTGACAAAAAAGGCTATCATAGATATTATGCTAAAACTGCCAATAGAAAAAAATAATCCCATCAGCCGCACTGAGCCTTGGTTGACTTATTAGATGTTGTTCTTCTCAGAAATCACGATAATTGTAATCACAGGTGCCCTTCATCACAGATTTTCAAGAACTAGAACTAGAAGAAGTGCATCAACAAAATGGATCATTAAGCAAAGCTGCAATCATAATTATTAGTGTAAAAGGAGTCGAATTTTCAGACACTTTAAAGCCCATTTGTCTATGGAACAGAGATAACCAGCACGATTTGAATTCGACTTATATTTTCAAGCAGCAAACTGACATGGTTGTAAGTATCAAAATTGGTTTTTTTCCCTATTAGCTTATAAGGCTATTGTGTTGGCCTCACGCCAAAATCAAGATTGTCTTTAAGTAGTTTGAATGGAGAAAAAAATAAAAAAATATAATAGTTAGGTATAATAGGTATAATTGCACTAATTTGCCTGTTTTTATTAGGGAATAGCTACAAAAACGAACATCAAGTCTGAGGAAAATTGCTTTGAAAAGATAATTACGAAGTTGGACTGTGACATATATGGGAAAACAATTTGCACTTCCTACTTTCAGCCATGTATGTAATATTTATTATATTTTTCATATTTTCCTGATACAGGTGTTTTTTCTTTTTTTTTTTAAATTGACTTACAGACGTTGGAGTGTTCTTAATTATTGAAAGAGAGAAGCGTCACTTTTTAAGAGGCTTACGATTTAAATTTCTCCCAGATAAACAACATCTGCAATGGATTGATTTGCTCCCTCTTATGGAAAAGATTGTTTTTGCAGCCGCCGATGTGGCGATACTGAAAAAAACGTCCGAATTAAAACCAAGAATATGTAAGATCTTGTTATGTTTGTGCAATGAATTTGAGTTTTGAAACGAAATATCTTAGCGGAAAACGGGTTTGTCCTCGTGGTAAAGAAAATTTTTTTTAGAAAAAAAACGCTGTTGGCTACATTTAGGCCGCGGTCTGCGAAACTTCTCAAATAAAAGCAAGGATAAAAGAAAGAAATGTTTCGAAAAAATCCCAATCTAACAAAAAATTAAAATTTTGTTTAAATATAGACCGATTTTGTTATTTTAATAGTGCTTGAAAATTTATTTATTTTAAAAATTATATGATTATGATTCGGTTGTGAAATACGGTTGAAGCAGACTGTGACAAAAACTGGTGGATCTCAGTTCTACTTTATTTGCATAAAAATTTGCAAAAATTCCATGGAGGACTAGCTCGTTTTTCACTTTTCTAATAATTTTTAGTTTTTCGTGGAGAGCAAAGCTTCGATAATTGTGGTCAAGTGGCGAATTTTAGGCGTAGAAAAAGAGACGACGAAGAAGCATGGGGTGTGTTTATCAACGGAGGCATTGATTCTAGAAGAGGACAAAGTCCGTGGCATGCAGGACTCACGTTGCATTTTCAAGATGGTCCCAATCCGGTAGCTTGTGGGGCATCTTTGATTTCCAAAAGGGTTCTCATCACAGGTTGGTACATTTTTCAAGAGAAATTTTGTAAATGCTCAATTTCTTTTCAGCCGCACATTGTTTGATAAGCAATGGCGTTCAATTGGAGGCAAATTTTGTAGAAGTTATCCTTGGAATGCACAACAAAAATGACCCTAAAGAAAGTGAACATTGGTACAGATTCAGGGTAATTATTATTTGCAGATGAAATTATAATATATTTTTCTCAAAATTTTAGTAAATTTAAAAATGAGATTGTTTAAATTTTATTTAATTTGTATAATTTCCTACAGGCGTCAAATATTACCCTTCATCCTGATTACAAGGGCATGAAAAATGACATAGCTTTGATATTCTCGCCCAACGATATTAGTTTTTCAAATATCATTAGGCCAATTTGCCTTTGGAATGATGAATACAACCAGGACAAAATCATCAACACAACAGGCAGCGTAAGAAAATCTTGCGAGTTTTGGAGTGCAATTTTTTTTTGTGCCGGTCAATTTGTTCCGCGATAAATAAAGAACATTTTAAATCGTTGTAGGTAGTTGGCTGGGGCTACACGACGAATTTCACTCAGCCAAATGTTTTGCAACACGTGGAAATAAAAATAGCCTCGCACGAAACGTGTTATGAGAGTAGCAAGCTTTTCTTTTCCGGAGCATTGAGCCCAAATGAAAACTTCTGCGCAGGTTTTCCACTTAATCGTGTGTAGAATAATTTTTTGGCACGAAATATATAAAAAAATTATATTATAGGCACGGGCGTCTGCACAGGAGATAGTGGTGGTGGACTCGTAATATACAATCAAGCTGACGGTCGATATTTTCTACGCGGCATAGTCAGCGGAGGGAGAGAAGTAACAAGAGTCTTACCAGAAGGTACAAAGAGGTTGTGCAACCCAAACTTTTATGCAATATTCACTGATATAACATATCACATGGAATGGATCGTGAACCAAACACCTGACCTAAATTATTAAAAAAAAAAAAAATATTAATATCTGTTGCGTATGTTATAGACTTAAAATAAATATGATATTAAATTTATTTCATAAAAGTTTTGAAAATTTCATTTACATTGCATCAAAAAATGTTTCATCAAGTCTTACTTTGTGAAATTAATTTAATTCCATAAAATTAAAAAATTACAATGCAAATACATGAATATTATTACGTAAAAAATAATACACCGGAAAAAATATGAAAATTTTAATTGAAACTAAATCAAGAAGTAAATCATTGGGGAGAATATTCTCAGCAAGCCTAGGTCTCAAATTTGTGTTTAAATTTAAGAATATTGAGAAATTATTTAAGGTCAATTAATAATTTACGATACAACACCTAATTATTATAATTTTTTGATAAACAAACAAATAACTCTGTCTACGTTCCAAGAAGTTCATGAAAAACATTACGATTTGAAAATCTGAAGGGACAGCTTTATTCTCGCAGGCCTTACATTTCCTTGTCTCCAAGTTCAGCAATAAATCAGTTACGACTCTTTTTTCTTTCACGTTAAGAAGCAAAACCTGGACCTGCGCAACATCTTTTCTTTAAAGTGGCAAGCAAAGATACACACGCGCTTCTCCGATATGTTAATGCAGCGCGGTCACGCATACACTCTAAAGGTCATCCTGATGAGAATCTCACAACCTAACTGTTCTGTTGCTGCGACACCTTAAAGGCGAGAGAAGTTGTTTGCCACCTCGTCAGTTCGCAAACGCCATTCAAGCAAAATGCGTCTATTTGCAACGACGGTTTCAATTCTCTTCCTTTTAGTCAATGACTCAGGTACGTATACAAATTTTGAATCAAAAATTATTTTTAATTGATTTCATTGATAATTAAATAACATTTATAAAGGTTTTTTTTAAATTATAATTTTTCATTTTTAAAAAAATTCCACAATTTTATTATATTGCAGTAGCAACGTCAGTACTTTCTGAACCGGCGCCAACCAACAAAAGTAACATTCCCGACCCTGGTGGCGAAGACTGGGGTTATTTAGATGTGAGGCCCGGAGCTCATATGTTTTATTGGCTTTACACCTCGACTGCCGCCAGCGACCCAACGACCCTTCCTATTGTAATCTGGCTGCAGGGTGGACCTGGCGCCGGTGGCTCAGGGCATGGGAATTTTAAGGGCATGGGTCCTCTTGATTTAGAATTGAAGCCAAGAAATACTTCATGGGTAAAATAAAAATAATAAAAAAAATTATTGCAATTTTAATTTTTCGTAAAAGGTTCACCACGTCAATATTCTCTATTTGGACAACCCAGTTGGTGCCGGCTACTCATACGTGGACGATCTAAAAGATTTGGCAAACAATGCCACTGGAATTGCTCTCGACTTGGTTTCATTCATGAAACTCTTCTATGAAAAGTATCCTGATTTTAAAGAAACGCCGGTTTATTGTTTCTCGCAGTCGTATGGTGGAAAAATGGCAGCTCACTTTGGACTTGAAATGGCTAATGTATACGTTATAAAATCATAATTAAATTTTCTAAATATTCTTTTTTTTCTCTACAAAGGCGATGAAGGCAGGAGAAATTGAAAGTAATTTTAAAGGAGTTGCACTTGGGTCAGCCTGGATATCTCCAATTGACTCGACTACAAGTTGGGCTCCGTATCTACTGCAAGCCGTAATTTTTTTAATCTCTCTCCCTCTTATTAATTTTTTTTAATTTTATACAAATTTCAATTTTTAGGGTTTAGTTGACACGAGCCGCTTCAAAATGATTGACAAATACGCGGCAAAGTGCCGGACGCTCGTTGAAAAGGGAGAATGGAAAAGAGCAACTAGGTGCTGGTCCAACACGGAAGTCTTGATCACGATTCTTACGCACAAAGTTGACTTTTACAATATCATGTATAAGACCTCGCCAACATTGGGGAAATCAGATCTTCAAACTGATGATGAAGACGAAGAAGATAATGAGGTTCAAAGTAGGAACATTTTTTAAATTATATTATATAACATTATTTAAATAATTATTATTTTTCCCTAGCACGGGCCTTTGATTTTAATTTCCGTTCTGATGATGAAAATGGACTGTCAATCAACGATCTCATGAATGGGCCAGTTTTTGATAAATTGAGTGCCACTTTGCACCATTTGAACCACTGGAGTGACCAGAGCGCTGACGTTTTTAAAGCTAACTGGGTGGACTTTATGAAACCAGCAGTTGATATTGGTAGTTTAAGGAAAATTGTTATGTGAAAAATATCTTGAAAAAATTGTTTCCAGTTGAAAAGTTGCTGGAGGAGACGAATCTGACGGTGGCTGTTGATAATGGTCAACTTGACTTGATTTGCAACACTCCTGGTAAATATATTAAAAACAAAAATGTGTTTCCTATTTTCTTATTTTCATCCATTGTTTTTAAGCTCAATTGATTTGGGCTGAGAATATGAAATGGTCGAATGTGTCAGACTGGATTCGAGCGCCCCGCAACGCATTCACTGTAAATGGATTTACTGAAGGTTTTGTTAAACGTTACGGTCGCTTCAGTTTCTGGTGGGTCAACCGAGCAGGACACTCGGTAAGGAAAAAGGGAAACTATTTCTTTATAAAATAAATTAAATATCTGATTTTTGTCAGTGCAACTGATATTCATAATTAATTTTATCCTTTAAATTCATATTTAATTTTTACAGATTCCATATGACAACCCATTGGGTTCGATTGTTATGATGCGTGACATTGTTGGCCTTCCACGAGAGGAAAACGCTGGAATCACTGAAGAGTACTTGGCCGAGTCAAAGAAAATTTTGGATAAAATTTTCTGAATTAAAAAATAGAAGCATTAATTTTTATTTAAATAACTATTTATGATGTGCAATTTTATCGTTAACTATGTTGTACACGACAGTGTTTAATAAATAACTGTTGATGATTATATGGTGGTCCAAGTGAGTGAAAATTTGAAATACAAACAAATTTTTAATTTTTTTAACAGCAGTTTTTTACTTAACAGCAAAAAATGCAATATTTCTTACACAGAACTGATGAAATTAATTCTTTTAAATATAAGTTTTTCTTTCTAAAATTAAAATAATGTATTTAGAAAAACATAAAGCACCAAAAAGTATAGTAAAAATTTTAGAATTAATTATTTTAATTGAACGTTTAATTTTCAGTAATTCTTATATAACTTTTTTATTTTCTTTTATTATTATTATTATTGTTTTTTGAGAAAACATATTATTATGCATTGAGTCTATTGAGTAATTCTGCGTGGCATTAAAAAAATAAATAAATATTATTTTATGTGCCTCTCTGAATCCGCATATTGAAATAGTTTCATGGTATACAGAGAGATGCCTCTCCTTTACCGAGAGCGCAACCTCCGATCACAGAGACGTCCCTCGGGCAAAGTGAAAACTTTTTGAAGCATGAATAGAAACGCCGGGTGTTTCTAAATTTTCAAAGTATATATAAGGAAAAAAATTTAAAAAGAAAATGTAATTTATACTGTATGTTTGAATTGTTTGTTGCCAAAATCTACTAGAAAACAGGCTTTGCGCTTCTTGTAAAATGACTTTTATAAAATTGCCACGATCAAATTGATCAGTTATAAATTTTAGTTTAATTCAACTCTATTCTTTTTATACGCTTCTTGCAGAAGATTTTTTATAAAACTATAATCAAAGTAAATCCAATTTCCAGTTGTTTCAGTTAAAATTCAGCAGCGAAAAACATAAATTTTTTCCAAATAGTTTGTAAATAAAAATATGAAATATAATAAATGTGTCTTAGAAACGCACAAGTAAGCGATCAATAATGATTTTGTATAGCGCATAGATCATGGATAAATATATGGAAACTCGTTGGCAAGACCTTCAAAGCATTATTGCTCTTGATTTGAGACCACAATCGAAGCGGCAGCAAAGCAGTTCAAAGGCGAGAAATTGCTCGTTAGCGTCTCTCGTAATTTTAATTAAAGTCTTCTTGCTTTATCGCCTCTCTTGTGTAGTGTGAAATTTCTCCGTGTGCAGAAAGAGCGGCATAAATAAAGGCGGCTCGATTACGTGATGCATGGATGAATTATTGGCTGCGGTAGAATTTATCGATGTGCGAGTGAGTTAATAGCGCGGCCCTCTTTCTCACACCGTGTCTAACATTAAGGGCTATTAGGCGGACATAATTATTTGTAAGCGACTGGTCTACGGCAGCGTTAAGACTTGCAGGGCCACACACGTTCACCAGGCACTACCTGAACCTTCAACCCAACCAGAGACAACTAGGAAGACGAGGCCCTCCAAATCCACAAACAGATTAATTTTAAAATCTATGATCATTGAGATAATATCTCCATATTTAATACGAAAAGCATTTTTTTTTATAAAACTTAATAAAATAGTTAATTATGTTAAATTTTTTAAATATTGATTCACTTAAAAAATTTAAAATTAAATCTTGATAATTTTATCTAGATTCTCGATTCAATTGAAGATTGCAATAATAATAATGCAGTAACAAAACCAGAACTAATAGAGTGTTATTTAAAATGTTATTTAGCAAAAAATCCATTATTTTCTTCAAAATATTTTATTTTTTGCACTAAATTTAATTTCAACGGTAATTATTTTTCTTTCTTTCCAGCCCATCTTGAGACTGTTCTTTCAACCACATTATTTTGCATTTATTGTATGAAAGGAACCACATTTTTGTTTTAGACGAACGTTTTTCATGCAGACCGCATCACACATTCAGTGTCGAAGTCATTATATAGGTGTGAACTTCTCGGTAGATAATTACAACCCCCAAGAGCCATAACTCAAACACCTTCACTGCTCCCACCTTGGGCACCCATGAGTGTATTTAGAAATTTTAAAAGCAGCGCACGCAAGAGTTGAGGTACAAAATAGGCAGACGGGAGTGAGAACCTTCAGGTGCTTCACTGAGCACTTTTATTCTCTGCTCTTTGAGAGATAATAAATTAAAGGCAATAATTCTCGCGCGGCCAGATCAGCTCTGATAATGCTACACAAGAGAAAAAAAACCTTGCTGCGTGCACTCGCAGCGATATCAATCGGGTAATCAGAGATTTTTGAACTATAAAAAAATCACAGTTATGAATTATTATATTATACACCCTTCATTTCTTTTGTGTGTGGTGAGCTCTGTGATGTCCATATTAAAATGTAGACATAAAATTCAGGTGAAAAATGTTAAGCGTTAACAATTTATTATCAAATGGTTTTGTTAGCGTCGTTCATCAATATTGAATAATAAATATAAGTAAAAATAACATATTATTTTTACTAATATTTTAATTTTATTTCAAAAAGACAATATAAATTATTTGCGCATAAACATGTATATTGGGGATAAAATATTACATAATTCGATAATTAAAGGCTCCAATAGATTTAATATCATTGTCAGGATATATATTGTAATTATTCAAATTTTAATTATTTACAAATAAAATTTTGTTCAATAAAAACATATTTTTATGATTAGTGCTTCACGGTTCATGGAAGACTTATTTTTTTTTTTAATTTTAACTAAACCTTCTCTCGAAATCGGAAAAGGTTTTGAATAGTTCAGCCATAATAGCCTTCCTAGTTTTGTAAAAAAAAAAAAAAATAGAAATTAAAAGGAATAAATTAAATATTAAAAATAAAATTAAACAAAATAAATAAATATATTTATTATGTATGGGTTATTATAGTTTAAAACAGACACTTATAATTACTATTAATTCTTTGGATAAAAATAATGCTAGCAGTAAATATTTTATCACTCAAAATTGGATCATCTGCAGATATGAAAACAAAGTAAACGTTTTGAAAAAAGAAAAAAAAAATATCTTTATTAAATAATTATTCAACGAAAAAGAAGAAAAGCGCCTAAAATATTTAATAATTCCTTTTAATTTAACGATTGCAGTTAGGAAATTTTCTCTTTATACTGAAAGTGTGAATTATTGTGAGTAAAATTATAATTATTTAAATTCAATCTGCAAGAAGACGCTTTCTGGAGGCATCGGTAGATAATAATAGCCGTACTAATAAATACCGACGAGTGCGCCGGGATTTTAATGGGCGGGCGGGAATGGGCTTGAAAATTTACGACTGCCTTTTGTCTCACCGCCGCGCTGAAGCCGCGGCAAAACTGATCATCTTCTCCACATATAGAATGTGTATTATAGGCCAATACACGCGAGGATTAATCTGGCTGCACAATATAATCTGTGCGCCGTCATCTCTCGCGGGCCGCGCTTTCGTTAATACCTTTTGACTTACCGATCACAAAGGCAATTCTTCATAACACCTTTTCAATAATATTCGATACGAATCCACACGCGGATTAAGGGAAACAAAATAATCTTGATAGGAATGTGGGACGACTTGTCACTGAACATTATTACTTACACGCCGCGGCTACAGAAACGCAGCCGCCCCTTTCGCTTCTGACGTTTGGAAATATCCTCGACGTGAAAAGCGGAGCACAATCGAGGCCGACACGTCAAAATTAAAGAGAAAGAAAAACAAAACATCTCTCAGGACACGCCGCCCCGCAACAGATGCGCTTCCAAATGAATGGAAATTAATACCACGAGCAGTGGAATATTAATGGGGAAAATAAATATATATCTGGGAGAGAAACTAACCAACGTCCCACGTCACTTGCAAGATAAAATAGAAACCAGACAAAATATGAACGCATCCCCTAATATTTACTTTTACTCTCAAAAGGAAGCTAGATTTTTTTCATCAGCTCAATTACATTTCAAGAAATAACCCAACCAATCCATGTGAAAATTTGGTGTTATATTAACCAGCGCTTTTTTATACCTGAAAAACCTTTATGTGCAGTATTAAAATTCAAATAATGTGCATTAAATCAGAAGATGAAATATATTAAATATGAAACCGTAAAAAAATCATGATATATATTAAGAAAATCGCACTAATTTCTGGAAAACAAAACCATTGACCTGACTGAATAATTTTTTTTTTTTTTTAATTCAGCCATTTTATAGAAGCTTTTAAAACTGTTCATAAAATTTAACCATTATTAAAAAATCATATACATAGCTTAATTTTTTTTAATTGTCAAACTTTCTCATTTCTTTGAAAAATTGTGGCCCGAGATTGTCTTATACACACCAAACTATAAACTGAAGCTCAAAAGTTAATTAAAAAACCTATTTATTCCTGGATTATGTTAAAATACTGTATGTTTAACATGTCTCAGAGAAATGAAAAAAAAATACAAATTCTATGATAGCGTGTAAATTTCCACTTAAAATTTAAAAACATAATTTTATCTTATCTAAATTTGTAAAAACTATTTCGATAAAGATTTCAAGCAGTTCTCAAACTCAAAAGCCAGAGAGAAATAAGTTTGCAGGCTAATTTCACGGAAAAGCAAAAAATATCTTTGACCTATTTTTCCTGTAATTATAACCATTAAATTATTTCATACATGGAGGAAGTAAATAAAGTCTCTCTATAAATTTGTATGCACAGAAAGAAACATCACACGGCATTGTTAATGAAAAATAACTTCAACAATTCAGTTCGATGAGGAAACTTCTGCTAAATATCTTTTTTATTTGCTCCGATTATTAAGAGCAGTTCTAGTTTCAACATTTTCCCCCAAAAAGGAAAAAAATATTCTGATTATGCTCTCAACAGAAATTGTCAGTTTTCTTGAATTTTTGCACACACATGAGAAAATTTACAAAAAAGTACAGCTTTAAAAAATAACATTTAATTTTTGTCAAAAATTGGTAATATTTCAGATTTTGCTCTTAATATTATGTTTTATGTTATATGAAAACCTACTATCAATATTTAGAGCAGGATATATATATTTTATAAGAAGACTCTGATGCATAAAAATGGGGGTGCTGACATGATGACATTTTTGCTGAATGCACGTCATTAGCCCAAAGAAACAAACTCGATC